AGCATCAGAAGAATTCTTGCATGAAAATGTAAGCTTCTTCTTCCTTATAATTAGTAATTTGGAGCCACAAATTTTCCTAGCTTCACTTGACAACTTCCCATTTTCCCCACTTTTGGTGCACTCTTTATAAGCCGCAAGGAAAGGGTCCTCTTGCCTCCACCTCAAGCCTTTGACGGAAGTGCTCCTCTTTATAAGCAGCTCTGTCGAGCATGGCGGTGGAGGAGGAACTTTGTTGTCATGAACCAAAATCTTTGACGAATCACCAGCATCAAGAATATTTGTTTGGTTAAGGGCACACAACCCTGTCTCAATATGGCACTCATCATAATGGGTGACCTTGGACGACTTGGAGACCCCCGGTTTATCCTCCCAAGAAAAGGGAATATTTCCTTGTGAATGAACCTTCCTATGACTCATTTTTCTGTATTGAAATCAAGCATTTGCCATTGCTTATATTATATATAATGAGAGGAGGGATTTGAGAATAACTTTGTTTCTCACACAATCCACACTGTCTAACGGCAGATATATGCATTTCCAAAGAGCAGGCGAATAAAACGTGAATGTTAAGCTGCTTTTTGCTTTCAAATGAATTTATCAAGTAATTAGAGATGATGAAAGTAAAGAAAAGGGAAAAAAAGGGCAGGTTCGTTGAAATGTGCAGAAAATAGTTAATAAAGAGTGTGTTTGTTAATTTAACAGCCTTGACTTGACAAACCCCAGTGGTTCAATATTTGTTTGGGTAGGTAAGGTTGATACAATGCATTTAAATCAACTAGTTAAGAGAAATTAAGTTTTAGTTAAGATCAGAATTTGATTGCTGACATGCCAACAAGCAAAACCAAATTCATTATCCTCAAACAATTATATCATTATATACGTGTTAGACATTTAATTATCATACATCCGAGCATTTGATCAAATTGATTAGTGCATGATTTTTGTTTTCGAAATTCTTAACTATAATCCTGGGGCAAGTAATTAATGAATACACAACTGAGAAAATCTAATCAAAGCCTTTCAAAATCAAAGCTCATTATTAAGACAACATTGGAAGGGATCATCTATGTCTATTCAAAGCATAGTCGCCATCAAAAGTTTGGGCTTGGCCAACTTCTTTTGTTTGGAAACTTGAGGCTTGGAGACAAAATTATAAGGTAGAACATTAGCAAGCAAATATTATATGCGTACGACCAAAAAAAAGTGATTAAAATGATAGGTTGATGGTAAGGGTGACAACAAATTTATGGAGTGAAGTTTAAGGAAAATAAATGATCAGATAATAAGGTGAAAAAAACAGTCAAGGAAATAGACAGTTTATATCATGATTGCTTGTTGATGTGGTAGTATGGCAAAACTTAAACATGTGTATTTTCCATTTTGGGTTAATTAAGAAAATGATGGAATATGTGAAGAGGAGCTAGGGAATGCATTTTATGAGACTCGAAGACATACTTTTTCATTTTGAGGTTAATGCGTTTTAAACTTTTAATAAAAATATCATTTGTATATAATTATTAGCAATTATCCTTTAAACATGGAATTTTATTGAAAGAAAGAACATATTCTTTTAAAATATGTTGATTTTAATTAACTAGTTTAAAATTTATAAAAGTACTCTTTATTCTAGCAATTAATGACAATATTTACATACAAAAACAAATTAGTGACTACGAATTGGAGTAATTTGTCAATAAATTAGGGATTTAAATTTTAGAGTATGCATTTTTTATTTTTTATATTATGATTTTCTTATATAAAAGAATTATATCGCTTTTAATATTGATTTTTTAATTTTATCACATTTATGAAAATAAAAAGTATCAAATTCACTTCTTGTTTTACACTCAATAAATTTCATTTGATACTTAGAGATTGTGGTTCGAGAGAATTTAAGTCGTAATATCTTTTTCAATTAGGTATGTATTAGAATAAGAGAATTTAAGGATAAATTTAAAAAATTTTAAAAAATAAAAATATAAAGTAAAACAAGGGGTGCATATCTAAACTCATAAAAATAATTTTTATTTTACGTTAACTTATATCTAAACAAAATTAAATTAGGTCACAAGAAATTTTATACTAGTATTATAAAACAATTTAAAAAAAGAAAAAACAAAATTATAATCGTATTAGTTATAAACTTCGATTTGGTTATCAACCAGCCCGGGAGCTGAATACTTGAATAAATGGATTTGGGCCATTGGCCCAGAACTCCCAAGACCTGAAGCGGAAGGACAGCAGGCGTCATTTACACAAAACCCTCAATAAAAATTTCAGAATTAGGGTTTCGCAGCTATAAAATGCATAGCAACTCTCCCCCTTGGCCACCTCTCAGTCTTCTTCTCTGTTTTCTGTTTTTTTATTTTGCATTAGAAATTTAGTTCATAGATATATTGTTTCGAAATTAGGCGATGATGACAGATTTTACATTTCTCGATTCTGATTTGATTTTTTTTCCTTAAATTTTGCAATATAAGGACCAAACAGCTCTCTGATGACAGCGTTTGTGCGTGTCTGAGCCTAAATTTTTTTTTTTTTTTGGTTTTTAATGATTTGTGTGGTTTCATTTTTAAAAAATTAATGGGGAAGATGGAGAAAGCGATGATTATAAAAATAATTCCTCGTTCTGATTTGCTCAAATTGGGCATGACAGACCTCTAATTACACCCATAGAATCTGAGCTCCTCCACTCCCTTTTTTTTCGGTTTTTTCTTTTTTTTGTAATAGTATTAAATTTCAGGTTATGATTTCTCTGTTCTTTTAATTGATATTGCATTTTGATGGTTGAGATTAACGTCAAAATTAAATCATAATTTAGTTTGGGAAGTGTTTTAGGCATCTTAATGTTGACTTTGAACCTGAAATTTCCTGGATTGAAGACGCCATTTCTTGGCTGATAATCTTATTCCTACCGTATCATTGACAGCATTGGAGTTTAGTTTTTAACACGTATGAAAATGGAAATGTAAGTCAGCTTGAGTTTCAAGCTTGTGCACCTAAAAATGAAGTACGACAATCTCTGTATTGTGAGTTTCAAGCTTTGGATTTTCACTCTGAGTCCTTATTTATGCTTCGCATTGCGTAGATTTAACTGTTTGACTATGCAACATTAGCAAAGACTTTAATCTTATCTATACAAAAACTGGTGTCCTATTCCTTTTCCTTCTTATTTTCCCTTGGCCCATGCATTTCTGGCTGCATTTTCCTTTAGTTGTTGGTTCAAGTGAAATTATTTGAAAAAAACAAGTTCAAATTTTAGTTCAAATTTCAAAATGCCAATCCTTTCTTTAAAGAGAAATAAGGTTAAGCCAAAAAGCTGCCAAGTTTAATTATGTACTATTATTAAATGTATGAAGAAGACCTTGTTAGGAAATTACTAAATTGCTTTTATCTGTGCTTTTGCATTTTGTTTATTTTAGCAATTATGGTTAAGACTCCAGAATTTATGCTCTTTCATGGCAAAAGTTTAGCAGGGTAGAGGAGGATCAAAAAGTGATTTGAAAGAACCAGATTTGTCTCTTTGGCAGAGCAGAATCCTAACTCAAAATAACGTTGGCCCCAATGTTTGTTTTTTTTTTTTCCTTTAATAAATTTTGGAAAGTGACTATGCAAGACAGCCATAAAGGCCACCAAATTGAAGTATGAACAGTAAGCATTGTAGCAGTACAATGAAACATGAGAAATTTTTTGGGGAAAGGAAAAAGAAAATAAAAAAGAACCAACGTTTTGATTTTGGCAGGTTTCCTTTCATTGATTGGCTTTGCATATAGATACAGGAAATCTTAGGTCAGTTATTTGAAACATTCTTGCTTGTGCTGCCGATAAGAAAAAAAAATGGTCAAACAGTTTTTCTACTTTGCCGGCCTGTTTCCAAGGTAAATGAGCTATGAACCAGTGTTTCTGCCACTTCCAGGGAGCCAGTGTATTCTCCAGCAGTTGCTTTCACTCCTGGTTGTCACTGCCCCGCAAAGCTATCAACATGCACTCCACAGAAGAAAGAGGGGTCCTCCACTCCTGCTCTTTCTTTTCTCAGGCCTGGGATTTGGGACCATGGGATTTAGGTATTTAACCACAGTTCGACGTAAAATACAGTAGCTTGTATTATATCACATGGCAATAGACTCATGTCTGTACCAAATATCAACTATCATGCTACTATCTACGGCAGAAAACAAGCCAAGTTCAGTTTTTTAACAGCAGTCTGAGTCTCTGACCCTTCTTTATCGGAGTTTAAAAAAAAACTGTTGATCACAAATCTTGCAGGGAATTTCACGTCTGTTTTATTTACGAGGCTGTTTGAATACCAACGTTTCTTTTGAAACAGCCTGGAGAGAAAAGGATATTTGTTTTAAAGAATCTTGGATGTCTGCTAAGAGACTAAAACTTGAAAAAGCAGTTTCATTCTGTACATTTTTTCAGCAACCTCTTCCTTCAATGGCGATTATAGCCTGCAGCTACAAAATCAAACATTCCAAAAAATCTTTCTCCATTGTGACATAATCCTGAAAATTTGTTGTTGTAAACCAATGAAATTGGGCTTCATTAACAATCCAATTTTCATTTTCCCTGTACCTAACAAGGCCACTGGACAATAATAAAAACAAAATTTTCAGTCAAAATGACTTTATTACTCAGGTAAGGTAGGGTAGGGTACAACATATAATAGTAGAAATATTTTTCTTACTATTGTTGGATTCTTTCTGGGTTCAATTCTTTCAGATATTTTACGGGTCCATCTTCAACCCCAATTATTGGACCCAACACCAAAATGTTTATTTCAGAGTTGGTCCCATGTTTTAATTTATCATGACTTTTGGTCAAGCCTGGGTACGCAGCTGCGTCACTCTAAACCAATGGGGTCAACCAGCTCAGTGGGGAGCAGTTGCTCGGCCTGCCGGGTGTACAGGCCACAAATGTGCCTCCTGCCTGGAGTCCAGGAAACTCCATCCTGATCTTCTATAATGATCTCAAATTATGTTAGCAATCTACCAGCTGCAAAGGATAGGAAGGGGTCTGCCACAAAATGGCCCAGCAGAGTCAATGATCAATATGTATTTTGGAAGTTTTCCATATATTATGATGATGGAAGTTTCAGCACGATCATTGACCAGCTTCTACCCCACTTTTCCTGTTACAATGGGGTCCAGCCCGTACACAACCTCAATCTCGCAGCCCGAATTATTTTTGTTCTTCAGGTCTTCAAGAATGTAAAGTTCACTACCTATAATTGAAAAAAGATAAGCTGCACTATCCAATAATATGCAAAGACCAAAATCCATTCAGAATATGAGACAATTAATCAGATCATAAATCACTTCTTAAAACTCATAAACTATGGATAGATAGATACACTCTTACACCCACAAATCCACATGTTCCAGAATGTCCAATATCCATTAAATAGGATATAACCAAGTTCCTACTTTGTAAAATTAAAGAACATTAAGTTAAAAGAACAAAGATGAAAGGAAATTAATTAGACAAACTGAAGTTCTTCAAGCTGCTTCTTCTAATGAAACGGCTCCAGGGTCGGTTTTTTCTACAATTTCCTTCTTTTCTCGCTTATATTATTAGCTTCTGATTACAGAAGGGACCGAGTGGAGCCAAGCACATCTTCACAAAGGCTGACACCATTATTGGGCTTCTTGTTCTCAGCTATAGGACTGCTCCCTGAGCTGCTATTTGAAAGTGAACCAAAAGGTGCCTTCTGCAACACACCTGTCGGCGAAGATCCCAACTGTGGGCTGCCATCCCACCCTTCAGATAAGAGGCTAAGTACTGATGAGTTCTTGCAGCTACCCACATTGCTTGTGGTGTTGGTTAGGACCTCTCCTAAAGGACCTCCCATTGAACTTCCCCAAGATATCGGTATCCAGTTAGCTTGTTTTTGGTTCTGGTAACTAATGTCACTGTTCACTCCCAAACCCATTTGGATTGGATCAAACTCCCGAGATAATCTAAGAGGTGAAAGGGCAAGTTTCTCTTGTGCTGGTGAGGACGAGGATGATGAGAACTCTGAAGATGCCATAGGAATAGACATAGAGAGTTGGGTCCAGTCTGATTTTAACTCCTCTGGCCAAGTAATGACAGAACGACTAGATTGATCCTGGGGCCAGTCTTCAATGAATTGGCGAAGTGTATTTTGGTCTTGGGTTTCTTGATCAGTGAAGTCTAAGAATGGACCATACTCTTTAGAATTCATGTAGGAACTTCCATGCGATGGATTAACAAGAGAATCAAAGGCAACAAGTCCAAAATCTGATCGAGAGGGTTCTGCAAATGGAATACCTTGTTTCGTAATGGTAAATGTAGAGTTGTTGGATTTCAGGTTGGTGGCGGAAGACATCACGGAAAGCCCCCGTGGATCTTGTATTCTGCCATGCACACCCTCAATTTTTAGAAACAATCTAAAACAATAGTAGAAATAATGGAAACAGAACCACAATGTACACAATTAAAGATTCAAAAAGCATACACGTAAAGCGAGAAAAAGATGTGGAACTCCAAGCCTCTACTTAATTTTGATTTAATCTATAATATATCCAATTAACCAAAGTACCTAGCAATAGAACTCTAAAGAAATAATGAAAGACTCCAACAAAGAGAATCCTAAGTCTCAACTTCAAGGTGTTGTCGCTGTCACCAAAGTAAAGATGAAATAATGGGGTCTACTTTAAAGTAAAGAGAAAGGAACAGAAAGTATGTGTATGCAAATTGTTCAAAGCAATATCATCCCAAATATCACTAAAGGAATAATAAGAATGTAAACAAATAAAGCACTCTCGAATGCATAAAGTATATTTTCACCTGTTGACAAGGGTGTCGGCAGAAGGATTGGCAGCACCAGATTGCAAGTTCTTAAACTGGGGCTGCTGTGCAATTGTGAGGCAGTTGGATGCACCACCACTTGTCATCACCGATGCTGACATGGAGGAAGACATTGGCATCACCTTTGAATTAGTGGTCCCAGAGGCAGCATGGCCAGTCTGGCCTTCCACAGGCTTTCTTGAACGATGGCGGCCCCTATTTATGTGCCTTTCACAATACTTTTGGTCTGCAACAGCATCCCGGGAGCACCGCCATTTCTTTCCATCCGTTCGACGACACCTCCCTGGTTCAGGGTCAGTGCTGCCGGAGTACCCCAGATGGAAAGAGCCCCATCCCACTAAATATATATTTTAAAACGATGAAAGAAACAACCAATGATCAATAATAAAGACAAGCAGGCAAAAAAGGAAAAAGAAAAAGTATGGATTTAACATCAAACCCAGTGTTACTTTTTAGCTAAAATTACTTTTAATTGAGATATCATGGTTTTGGATAAAACTTTCTACCAAAGATAAACAGAAAACTTTGAGATCACTGCACAAACTGTAAGATATAACTGCAAAATCCAAAATTCCCTGTTACCATCAGCAAAGTAATATAGGATCCAGTATCATCTACATATGGAATTCTAAAAATTTACTCTACCATCTAACAGACACCACCTTGCCAGCACCAAATGAACAAATATTTCATTTTCAACACATACATGCACCAAAGAAGAACAACAGCAGTCACCTCCTAAAAATGAAATAAAACCCAAATAGAAAACTAAAAAACATACTAATTACAAAGAAGGGATCTAAGTCAAGCATATCCTAAGGGAGATGTATTATTTTCAAGTATTTATTAAAAAAAAAAAGAGACAGAGAGGAGAAGTTTACATGAATTGGGAGGCAAGGATCCAGCAGATGAGCTGGACAAGCCATAAGGGTAGAGGGGCTTATTGAGAGGAATGAGCAAATTGGAAGGTACAGGCACATTAGACGTGAGGTACTTGTAGATCAATGCCTGGTGTTCTAGCTCAATCCACTGAGATGGAGTAAAAGGTCCTCTAACCCCAGTAAGAGGCCCATGCATGCTTGCATTCAAGCTTCCAGAACCATAACCTGAAACAAGATATTGAGGGGTTAACTTGACTGGAACATTTATTGAAGCTACATATGCCATGAACTTTTTTCAACTATTTTCCACAGTAAAAGTCACGAAAAAAAAATTTTTAAAAAAAAGAAGAAAGAAAAAGACCAAACAAAGTCTTATATCTTCTAGAGTACAGATTCTTTCCAACCCTTTATGCCCTTTTCCCCCTTCTCTTTGCAATAGCAAGAAAAGTTGGGATTTTTCCCCCAAAACCAAAGGTAATTGGTACAAGTTCGTAAGAGGAAAAAGACACCTTTTCTATTTGACAAGACTCAAAAACTTAAAATTTCTAGTAAATGCCCATGAAAAGACCCTCACTGTTATATAGAAATAAATCTACATGATAATTTAAACAACCCCATTTTCTGCACAATGAAGGTAGCTAAATCTCTCATACCTGAAATCACATTTCCCAAAACCGCATCTTACAAAAATCAGAAACCAATACAAATCACAAAGTACCAATTTTTTTTACCCAAAAACAAAAGCGTTTCAAAACAGAACACATAAAAAAATTACCGGCATTTCTATTATACATAGAGGGTGTATGCTGATAGTAAGAAAAGCCACCGTCTTTGCTGATAAAAGAAACCTCAGATTTGAGTGAAGACAAGCTAAGTATATGCTCTTGTTGGTGAGTGCAAGCCGAGACCAAGGAATTAGATCTCAACAAGGGAGTGCCTTGGTGCAATGGCATTGCATTTGGGGTTGACAAATCATGAGTTCTGGGTAACTTAGAACTTTTCCAGTGATCTTCAGCTGAGTCAGAAGATCTTTCTTGCTTGGAAAACCCAGATCCAACAATCTTAGGCTTGGCCTCAGCTGAGAGGAATGGTGGTGGAGGTGGTCGAGTTTGAGATAGAGTTCCATTACCAGGGACCACAATACCCTCCAAACCCAGAACCTCAAAATCCATATTGGAGACAGAACCAATCCAAATAGTCTCTAAAAAGCATGAGTCGATGACAAGGAAGAGTTGAAAGTTGAAGCTTTGAATAACAAGTGTTTGAGGGCATACAAAGAGAGATGCATCTCAGAGGCGTTAGTATGTATGTGTGTGGGTTTTGTTTCTGTTCAGAGCTGATTTTTAGTCCATCCTTGTTATGGAAAAAAAATACAAAAAAGAAAAAATAATTGGAGAGAGAGAAAAGAAAAGTTCAAACCGAGAGTGAACGAGCAGACCAGGCTCTGGTACCAAGAACCAACACACTCCACATCTCAGACATGTTGCCAAATATTTATCCATGTTTTTTGCTCCAAGTGAAAAGATAGCTTAAGTTGTTTTAAAGGATCGTCAAAGTTACCAAATTCTCCTTGGTAGAGACTTCAGAGTTTTCTATTTATTTTCTGATTCCTTTTAAACCTCTAAGTGCATAAAAATTAGATTGGTTATTTTTATTAAAAATAAAAACAATAATAATAAGATTAATTATTATAATAATGAGATTAAATAAATTATGGGATATATATTTTGATATAAAAATAATTATGATAATGAGGTAAATTATAATAAAAATAAAAAATTATTATTAAGCATATTTAAATAAATATGGTTTATAATAATAATTTTAAATAATTTAATATTTACAAAATAGTAAATAATTATTAATTATTTTATATTAAATAATAATTTATTAATAAATAATTAATAATAATAATAATATATATCAAATAATATCTTCATTATATTATATTAATAAATTTATTTTACTATTTTAAATAAAAAATTAAAATGGAAAAATATTTAAAAATATTTCAATAATTATAATATTATGTAAAAAATAATAAATAAAATATAAATAAATAAATATATTGGCCAATTGACAGCTAATTGACTGCTGAACCAAGTTTAGTCAATGACTTAAAACTACAAAACGCACCCCATTGTCGCAACTGATCTGTCAATGGAGATCCAATTAATTGCAAACGAAGCCTAAGTTGATTCTCACACAATGTAATTAAACCAAAATAGAGTTAAAAATGACAATATAATTTACTTGTATCGCTCATCAAATCCTAACTCAACGTTAAAGCAATGACATCTAAATATAGTTCAGTTTATGATCACTATTTTTTTTTTAAATTATCATTGTTAATCATAACAATCTCATCTATCAAAACTTAGGAAAAAAGAATTAAATATATTTTCTAGTATATTTTACTGTAAATGGCAAGATATTATTTCCTCCTTTCCCTTTAAAATTATTTATATACGAGGGTCAAAAAATTAACCAAATAAAATATTATTGGGATGGTAATGGGTTAGTTAGGTCGAGTGTTTTTCGTCCTAAACTTGATCCGATTTTATATTTATAAAATTTGAGTTTGATCGAATTTAAAAAAAAATTATTTTTTTATAATCTAATTTGACTCGATCCAATTCAAAATTAATAAAATATTATTTTTTAAAATATAAAAATATATAAATAAAAATAATTAATTAATTAAAATAATTTTATATAATATCGAATTAGGTCGAGTTTACTTAAAATTTAAATATAATTTGATCTTAATTTTATTAATATTACACGATTCGACTTAATCTAAAACTCAATTTAAAAAAAAATCAATCATATGAGATCGGATTGAATCGAAGTTCGTCGAGACAAGTTTGATTGTCAACTCTAAATGCTACTAGTATTCACTAGGATTCTTCATTTATATTCAATGATATATGTTTAATTTGTGATATTTTAGCTAGGAATTTATTGATGCTTTAAATTTCTTAATGGAAATTATAGCAAACAGAGACAACCATTTTTAATTCAGTACTTTTCCTTTTTATATAATAGGAAGAGAATTTTGTTTATTACTTATACAATTAACATAAGTCAATAATGAATTAAGAGTTTATTTTAATTAATTAATATTATCATATTTAAAAAATAATATTCAGTATATTTTAATTCAAATTTTAAAATCTATAACATTTTTTCTATTCTTAAACTGTGATAGATTTTATAAAATATATATATTATTATCACGTTTCCAACATCTCAAAATATTTAATTTTAATTGAATAGAAGGGGTTGGGGCACTTCAAATGGGTTGCAAAGGGCATTAATGCCAATTCATGCTTATATACGTTTACTTGTTATATAAATTTTCTTCGACTTTGTTTTTTTTTTTTTTTCATAGAAGGGATCTTGTCCTTTAGTGGAGGGGCAAGTGTCCCTTTGAGTTAAAATCTGGGGGTTTACCATACCACAGAGAGAGAGAGAGAGAGAGAGCTGACCTAGAGATTTCACAGTTGGGGGAGGGAGATACATGTAAAGGCCTTAAAGGGGAAAAGTCAGTAGCGTGTGGTTGCATGAACAAAGGTGTAATTGCCACGTGACCCTACCCTCCATCCTCTCTAATTCTAAACCCCAAGCCAAAATCTCTTCCATGGAATGGGATGGATTCGCATTTGTTTGCATAATAAACTAGAAAGTTGATTATTTCGGTTCTTTTAAGTGGTCAAATGGACTTTAAAAGGCCCATAAATATTTTTTTGATAAAAGATGGTCAAAATTTAAATTTTGATTATTAAAATTAAAATTTTAATATTTAACTAATAAATTATATTTATTAGTTAAAAATTTTTGTATATATGAAATGTTGCTAAATCTATTAAGTTTTTAATTTTTTTAAAATAAAATATTTATTAATCACTAAACTATAATCATATCTTTAAAAATAGTTATTTAATTATTAAATTTTTTAATTCAATTATTAAATTTTAAATAAATATTTTTGGTCATTTAACTATTAATCTCTAATGACGTGTTAATATAGCAATATCATATATTATCATGTCAATGCACTAACAGTTGGGTGACAAAAAAAATTTTATTTATATTTTAGTGATTAAATTAAAAATTTTAAAAATTTAATAATCATTTTAAAAATATGATCATAATTAAATGACCAATGATGTAATTTATTCAATTTTTATTATTTTATATTCAAATTGATCTTTTAATTTATTATTTATTATTAATTATTTTAAATTAAATAATTAATATAATATCAAAATTCAAATTTATCCTAATAAGTTTTAAGTTTTTTGTAATCATATATTTAAAATCAATCTCTTTATTTATTATCAATTAATTTTAAATTATATGCTTAATAGTGTTATCCATATTAATTTGGATGATCTAACTTGGTTCGCAAAAACTCATGTCAAAAATCAATGTGATTTAATACTACTTCTAAATTCCCCCCTCCCCATGTTGGTTTCTTTCACTTTCTGGTCCAAATTAAATCAATCATCACTTTAGCTTTGTCCTTTCTTTTTTGTTTTTTTTTTTTTCATTAGTTACATATGTGACTGTCTCAAATATCTATTGGATTTTATCATTTTAAGTTATACAATGAGAAGCATAAATTTTTTATTTTAAATTAGAATTCGAGATATTTCGACTGAAAAATCTTAAATTCTAACGTGAAACAGATTTCATGATCTACATATAAATTTTTTTGTGATATATGTTGTACCTATCATTCGCTAACTTAATTTGAACCATAAATCATTTCATACAATAGAAAGTCATAGTTCTGAGGTTGGAATGGATCACGCAAATCAATTAACAACTTATTTTATCTTTATATTTATTGATTAAGTAAGATATTATGTACATAAATTTTTTTGAATTCATTATTTTTAAGCATTAACTTTAATAATATATCAATTGATTTAAAAATTAATATTAAATATTTTATTTTAATATTATACAAGAATTAAATATAATAAACATTTTAATAAAAATATGCATTTAACTTACGATAAATTTATAGTATAAAATTATAAAATTCAAATTTATATCTTATCATTTAAAAAACTAATAATAAAATGAACTGATTTAATTCGACTTTTCATCCGTTCAATTGGGTGTTGATCGGTTCATAATTAATTGTTCAACACTGGATTTTAATCTAACCCAATTAAGTTTCAACGAAGTTGAATCTCTGGCCTTGTTTTATTAAATAGGCTTTTAATTGGAAAAAAGACAAATGGGATCATACAAAAATATTTCAGAAAGATGCAGCTCGTATTTATTTCATTATTACTTAAAAAAAAAAAAATACAAGCGAAAATTTTTCACTTCGAGTATTTATCATCACTTGACCTACTACTATTGTTTCCAAAGTACTTTTGGGTAGAGTTAATTTCAATGAACAAGACTTTATTCTTTTTAACTAAGAACAATCCCCATCAAAATCCACTAGCCATAATTGAATCTTCAACAACAAATTGTGGTCCAGCTGAAATGAAGAACTGAAAGTAGATTAATTAGTTCAAACCTCATGAACTTGCCAAAACTCTCATCGTATCCTTGCAATTAAGTCTTCTTTAATTAACGTACATCTTTCAAAGTATGATGATGCTACTTTAAATTGAGAGTGATTGACACCCCCTTAAATTTTTTTTTAATACATACTATATTCATTAAAACTCTATCCAATTAGAGGACTTAGTTATGATTCTTTGTACATTTGTACCAGTATATTAGATGCTACTAACTGGAAAGGTAATTTTAAAGAGTTTAACCAACCATTGTACCTTAGAAAAGGTCTGTCTAAAATAATTAAAAGTTCGTAAATTTTATCATTTTATTTAAATAAATTTATATATTTTTATTATACTTAATAAATTTTTAAATTTTATTTTGCATATAAATAATTTTTTAAATTTTAATTTATATCTAAATAAACTATTGATATTTAATTTGTATCTAAATAAATTATTAATATAAATTAATATTTTATTCAAAATAAATATTTTTTATATAAATTTATTTGAGTACGATAAAAATAATAAAGTAATTTTAATCTAATTTTCATGTCGAAAAACATTACATGATAGTAAGAGAAAAAGATCTAAAATATAATTAAAAATGAAGAATTATATGGAAAATAGGAATTTTAGTACATAAAAAGCAAAGAAAAAACATGTTTGGCCCTAAAATCTTGTTTAACAAACTAAAAAATTAATTTAACTTTCTGGCAAAAAAACCTTTCAAACTTTGTTTAAATTTGCATTGATTTAATGATTAAGATAAATTGATTGGTTTTAAAGATTTGTTAATAATAATTGGTTAGTATTATAAATAAATACTAATAACATGATTTTAATACATCTTATATGGCAATAAATAAAACTAAAAGTTGAGATCATTTAAAAAATAAATAAAATTAACTATTTTAGTTTAAGGAGACCATTTAATTTCATTTAATATTTATTATATATACTATGGGGTTTAAAAGTTTTGGGGGAAGGTCCAAGTCCTCTTTAGGCTCTCATCAATTATCCGATTTTTTTTTTTGTATTCGTTTGAGTTCGAATATATTAAAAAATCATAAAAAATAAAATTTTATAAATTTATTAAATTTAGTATAAATAAATCTACTTGAATAAATTCGATAAAAAAAAAAAAACCTTGATCAAACCTAAAACTAGTGTACTGCTTAAAAAAAAAAAAAACTAATAATAACATTTATAATTATTACTGTATCCTTCCTACACAAAGGTATAGCTCAATATCGTTGAGGAGTAAAATTAGCGTACTCTCGTCGGGTTTCAAACAGCAAAAGCGCAAATTTGTGAAGGGTAGTTACGACATTTGAGTTAACATACAATATTGTACTGTAAGAATCGCTTTCATGGACGTGCTAAGCTCGTGGGGGTCCAGCTCTTGCTCAGGTGACTCTATTATCGTTAGAATTTTTTTTTTCTTTTAATAAATTTTCTCCCATTTTTTAAATTAGGAATTTAAGCAGTGATGGACTTGTTAGAAAGCTAGTTTTAGCTAGTTTTGGTTTGGTCAATAGCAAAGGCTCTGCGAATCAATTGACGTTGAGAAAGATTGTTTTGGCTTATACATGATCTAAGATGCCTGCCCGTTTGTCCAGTGCAAATAAGTTGCTCCAAACTTAAGCTTGGGATGCAAGTGTTGAGGAATGCCTCCTAATTGAATATCATCCGTATAAATTATGGATAGCCAATCCATTGTTGATTTTTTTTTTTTTACTTTTTTTTCTATATATAAAGCTTTCATATTATCATTAATAGATATGTTCATGGATATAATGGTCGGTTAGGTCTGTGAGTTTTATTTAATTCAAGTTGAGGGTAAAATTTTTAAATTTGAATAGATTAATACATGAATGATTTTTTTTTATATGAATGATTTCTTAATTATATTAAAATGTTTAAATGATATTTGAATTTATAATTTTTTAATATATATTTAAATTATAAATATATTAATTAATATGATATTTATTTTTAATATAATTATTTTTAAATAATGATACGTAGTAAATAATTAATATTTTAAGTATTATATTAATTAATAATTTTATATTAGATATTTTATAATATTTAGATATTATATTAAATATTTTACAATATTTTAGTAACTATCCATAATATTAACCCAGTTTGAATTCTATTCGTTCGAGATATTGTTTAATTAATAATTTTTTATTTAATTTAAATTAAAAATTTTAAATGTAAATATAAAAAGAAACTTTAAAATTTTTTTTGAACACCTAGGGTAAGGTTTTTAAAGCAGAATGTTTTTTTTTTTTTCCCTTTCTTATGTGGAATCTGGTATGTGAGATCCCGAACAATTCCGAAGGTACATAATTGTTCTAGGAAAGATCTAAAAAAAAAAAACATCCTGGAATAATTTCTTCGTCCTACCATATTAAATTCATTACTAAATTTGTTACAAGCTACTTTTTACACTTTACATCAATTCCAATTTTGGTATTTGCATTGTTCATTTTTCCCAGTTGGTACCTAGGGCAATATAAATGCATTAAAATTCGAAATTTCCAGTGTTATGATATCAACGATGTTGGAAAATTAAAAACCCTTGGTTCATGGAAAATTAAATTTGCTCTGAATTCTGATCTCTATTTGTTAAAAGCAACCAGTATCCAGCCATGATTGATATATCGTACCCTGATTTCTGCATCAAATGACTTAAATTTTTCTCCTTGTAACTCATCTACCAAAACCTTCTTTTTCCCGTACATGTGTACAAGTTTTTTTTGTCTGTTTTCTGAAAGTTAACCTACTGAGTTGGTGTGACAAATTAAATTTTATCAGAATTGCCGTTAACTTACATGAGATATGCTTACAGCTCCCATGGCTGGCCATGAGCAGCTTCCCCTTTCATTCATCAAGTAGGACCTACGCTAATTGCCACCCATTATTTTTTTTATTGTCTTTATGGTTACACTAATTAAAAAAGAGAAGATAGAGTGGAATGAGGGTATGAATGGATGGATGGATGGGGTTAGGGAAAGGTTAATATCATGGGTCTCCATCAATCCCAGGCATTGTCACCTAGACTAGAGCTTCGGCCCTGTTTTTAGTAGGGGCCTCTATCCCTTTGCTTTACTTATCATGCCTATTTCAGATGGTCAACTATAACAAAATCTCTAGGGTTGATGATGAAGCGAAGGCATGGATTCTTCATTTATTTTCCTTATTAGGTAGTTCATCTGGATGATGATAATAGATTTTAATTTGATGCTGTCACGTCATGTTGGGAAACGAGGGGTGTCATTTTTATCTTTCATAAAAGCAGGCCTATCAACAATCCAAAGCCCACCTAATAAAACATGATTGATCTCCATTCCCATATAGCGGAAAGAAAGTACTCTACTTGGGCTAACGAGCACTCCCAAATGCAAACCGAATGACCAATCAACACTTCAAAGCCCACCTTATTAAAACTATCATGTTCAGTTTTTTAATGAAAGTTTACTTAGAAATTTGTGTTTAATTTTTTTTATATTTCAGTCTTTTAATTTTACATCTTTAACATTAATTATCTTTTTCAATGAAAACTATAATTGTTACTAAAATTTGACTAGATTGATATTATCATGATTAAACATAAAAATGAAATTATTTTTAAAATTTTGATAACAATTTTACTCATTTTAATAAAAAAATCCGGCAGCAACGTGTTCTTTAATGAAGTGAAAGCGGCTGCTGTTACCGGAAAAATCCTCCCACCAAATAGAGGACAAACGTGAGATAAAGATTCGACGATTGTATTTCCTTCCCTTGTTTCTTCAAAAGAAAACAGAGAAGAAAAAAAAAGGTGAAATAAAAAATCTATGGCGACGATCTCTTCAAAAATTTTTCTCTGTTATGCAACTCCAAAACCCCAATTCCCTACAATCACTTCTCCTTCTCTTTTACCTTCTGCAAAGAAAGTTAACGATAAACCCACCAAGCAAATTACTTTTTACAGCAACAGTAATTCCCGTTTCACGGCCAGAGCTTCTTCTTCCTCTGCCGCTGAATTCACCGCCAACATCGGCGATGTACTAGGCGACGTTAGCGTTTTCACCGCTGCGGGTCAACCTGTTTTCTTCAAAGATCTGTGGGACCAAAAAGAGGTATCTTTTCTATCAATTTAAGCTTATGCTTTTATAATTGAATATGGGATTATAGCCTGAAAACGAATATAATATCTTTTTTTGCAAAAGATGTAAGGTCAAGCTTGAATTTTTATTCTTTCTCTGGGAACCCAAAGTTGTTAACAACCAGAATATTGTTGTGCTAAACTTAGTTTGCCTCTTCTCATCAAATCCAGGGAGTAGCGGTTGTAGCACTTTTAAGGCATTTCGGATGCTTTTGCTGGTAAATATTTCTGAGTCATCTGTTAATTTGAGAAACTGGATTTCTCTTTTGAGTCGTTTGACTAATCAGTTTTATATGCTTGTTCGTCTAAGTTGGGAACTTGCTTCAGCTCTGAAAGAAGCAAAACCAAAATTCGACTCAGCTGGTGTGAAATTAATTGCAGTTGGTGTTGGTACTCCTGATAAAGCTCGTATCCTTGCAGAGCGGGTATTTCTTTTTATGTTTCCTTTTTTTTTTTTTCAATGTTATTTTTTTTGGGTTTTATCTGTTTCTTTGTTCATTACTTTAGCATTCTCCAACAACCATTTTATTTATTTATTTATTTTTAACACTAAAAGGACTAGAGGAGGCATATTTGGTTCCTCAGAGCCTATTCGACAATCTAACTTATGAACGCTAAATGAAACACCATGAATTTGGGGATAATCTGTGTTAGATGGCTCATCAGTATTTTCAGGTTTTTGTCCGATAATAATGCAACTATTGCATCTTTTCGGCAAAGGTGAATGTATGATCTTCTTTCTTACAAGAAAGGATATGAGCATGAATTAAATTGTTATTCATTTTTAAACCTTAGTTGGACTGGAGTTTCTGTTTTTCCCCCACGTCCTTTTTAAAAGAAATCCGGAGCTAATGAACCACTGACATTAGTTAATGTCATAAAATGTACAGTTGCCATTTCCAATGGACTCCCTTTATGCTGATCCTGAACGTAAGGTAATACGTTGTACTCATTACTCATATGCCTATTTCTTGAATCTCCCTTTTGAATGATTGTAAGTGCTGAAAGAGCATTTCTTTTATTTCAGGCATATGATGTTTTGGGTTTATACTATGGTCTTGGGCGTACATTTTTCAATCCAGCCAGTGTAAATTTCAAATTTCTCAGCTTTTATGAAAGCACGTTTCTTGTTTGTTGAAAGACCGACCATTTTTTTAATTGGTGAAGAATTTGGACATGCATAACAGGCAAAGGTGTTCTCAAGACTTGACAAAGTGAAGAAAGCTATGGAAAACTATACCATGAAAGCCACTCCAGATGATAAAAGCAGTGTATTACAACAGGTTTGTGAATTTGTCTCGACATTCTTCAGGATCCATGTTTTTGGTTTGTATATATTGGCTGCTCCCCTCAGGTTCTGTTCTATTCTTGTACCAGGGAGGGATGTTTGTCTTCAAAGGGAAACAATTGTTGTATGCACGAAAAGACGAAGGGACAGGTGATCATGCTCCTTTAGATGATATCTTTAATGTTTGCTGCAAAACCCCAGTGGCATGAAGTCTTTCTATAATATATTATTCAATCATTCTAGACGAGCCTGTTTCAGATATCGGCATATGCTGCAAGGTTCTGGTTGCATAAATTGCTACATCTTATTTGCAACCCAAGCAGCAAAATATTGCTTTCTTTTGTAAAATATTGCTGAAAATAATATATATACTTTTTTTTTGCAAAAATTAAAAGCTATGGAAATATTAATCAAATAGCCAATAATAATTTGTAAATAATATAGCTACATATGTACTTGAGAACATTTTAATAGCCAATAATAATTTGTAAAACGCTTGACATTTTGGCTAATGATTTTAAATTTAATTATTCATGCACTTTTTTTTTCCCAATGCTTTCTCTTGTTAAGAAATGCTTTTAATGTATGGTCTTGGGACAGAACCTTGGGTTCTAGTACAGACTTTGAAACCTCATTTAAAGAAGAAGGTATCCGCTGTTGGGACCATTATTTTTTAATGGACAGGAAAATTGTCTGATTCCTTGTTCTTCTCTTAATTCTCATCCTAATTTGACTAATGGAATATCTAATCAACACTTTGATTTTAAAGGAGTTTTAATCTCATGAACTTGATTTCGTAGTAATTATTGTGATAATTTTCATCTTATGAATCCTGTGATGTAATCACAATAAAATCTTAACTCATTAAATAAATAACTTTTATTTTAAATATTTCAATTAAATTTTATGATTGTGTTTAAATTATGATGCCTCTTATAAGAATCGAGTCAGTATGATCATATATTGGGAGTCAGTATGATCATATATTGGAATAACTTTCCATATGCGTGGAGATTATATTATCTCAAATAATAACAACTAAGATCATATTATCACATGTGATTACAAATATAGATGGTTAAAAGTTGTTATTTAATTTTTCAAATTTTGAAAACAATCAACATGTTAAAATTGATTTTATGTCATATGTATCCTGTGACATTTGTTTTTTTTTTTTTTGCCCATTAATTAGTTTCTAATAATTATACATTAATAAGTTTTCAATACTTACAGGAGAAATATATACATACGAGAAATATATATGCATACGGAACAGGACTGAAAACCAAAATAAGGAATGGAGATGAAACTCTGTAATCACTGTGGAAATCAAAATGAGAAATGGAGAAAAAACTGTGTAATACACATTTTTTTTAACTTAAATACTAGAGAGACCTGAATCCTGATATTTTAATTTTGTTATTTATTTTTAGGGGGCGTTTAGTTGGAGGAAAATAATTTTTTCTTCAAAGTATAATTTTTTACATTTTGATATTTTGGTTTGGTTTATAATAATGTGATTACCGGAGTTTTTTGAAGTTTCAACAGTATCAAGAAATTGAAAAGTAAAAAGTCAAAAACTCTCCTTATCCAGGCTCGTTCAACTCTAAACCCGAGGATGGATTCTTCCGATTCAAGATTAGCCTATAATCGGACTAGTGCTTAGGCTAGGTAATTTAGAGCTTATGGTTCCCGAACCTGAGAATGGATTTTTCGATGCAAACTAGTGGTCAGACACTCTATACTTTAGGGCCCAATAGCCCAAGCTGCTACAAAACGCACGATGAGAGTTGGGGGAATTTTCTATTTATAGTTTAAACCTTTACATGAATGGCTGAGATTAGGCCAGGTTTTTTAAGATTTTAGAGGAAAAGTAAAATTTTTTCTCATTTATCTTTATTTAATTGCATTTTCAGATTCTATAAATGATCTTATTTATTTTAAAAACGTAGTAATTTTTTATACAATATTATGAAAATAAATTTTTTTAATATACTTTAAACAAAGATTGTGTTTTTAACATAATATTATTAAAATTTTCACAAAAATTATGATTAAAACAAGAGTTTTGTTGAAAAGATAAAATGTTTTTCATAATTAAATAAAAACAACATTTTAAAAATAAAAATATTTTTTTGTTAAAAATATGAAAAAGTATTATTTTTTAGAATTTAATAATGATGATATTTTTAAGATAAAAAAACATAAGTTTTGTTGAAAAGATAATATTTTTAAGATAAAAATGTAATTTTGATTGTAAATATAAAAAATATTTTTAAAATTCAACAAAAATGATATTTTTAAGATAAAAAATATAATTTATATTGAAAAGACTGTGTTTATAAGATAAAAATGTAATTTTTATTATAAACATGAAAAAAAATTTCAAAATTCAACAATATATGATATTTCTAAGATAGAAAATATTGTTTTTGTTAAAAATATGAAAAAATATGCGTTTTAGAATTCAACAAGAGTAATGTTTTTAAGAAAGAAAATATAGTTTTTGTTGAACATATGAAAAATTATAGTTTTCAAAATTCAATAAAAATGATATTTTTAAAATAAAAATGCACTTTGTTGAAAAGGTGACGTTTTTAAAAATAAAAACATAATTTTTGTTAAAAACATGAAAATATATTTTTTAAAATTTAATAAAGATAATGTTTCTAAGATAAAAATATAATTTTTTGTTGAAAATTTTTTTTTCTAAGATAAAAACATAGTATTTGTTAAAAATATTAAAAAAAAAGTTAGAATAGTAATTAGAATTGTAAAATTATATTTGTTTAAAATATAAAAAATTAATTTTTAAAATTATTAAGTTTTAATTATGACAACATATTATTTATATGTCACATGTTATTCACATATCAATATTATAAATATTATTTATTATTTACATATTTTTAAAGATAATATAATAATATATTTTATTAAATAATTTTACATTATGGTGATCGAAATACCAAAATCTTACATTTTATAAATCAATAAAACCTACAAATCATTTTTTTTTCAATGTCACTTTCTCTTAAATTACTTTTTCTTCCAAAATCAAAAATTTTTCGTACCAAACACCTTCTTGTAAGAGATGTTTTATGGTAATTGCAAATTTCTCTACATGCTCTGATAATTATCCTCCTTTGTCTTTGTTGTGATGAAACCATACAAAATTTCTAAGCTGGAAACCATATAATGGGGTTAAATCAGTGGGATGATAGTTGTCGTTTACAATACATTCTAATTCCCAAGCCAATGTGCTTCACACCCTCCTTTCTAAAAATACCCCAAATTCCACACTTCTTTTGCCTTTTCTTTGTGAGAACAAAAGCATAAATTAATACTAAAAATCAATCTAATTATTACAGGAACCTGTAGATACAGAAAAATACCCCTTGCTGGTTTAAATTTGATTCTTCTTTGAAAATGAAGACTAAACCATGTTGCTGCACATTTGTGCATCCATTCAATTCATTTTTTCTCTACAAAAAACTCTGTTGCACCCTTTCAGACATATGGGGGTCCTAGGAATGTCTGTTTTTTTTTTTATGATCGGTCCTTTATGGACTTTAACAAGAAAATAGAGTTTGGCTACATGCTTTGCTTTCTTTGAACATCCAGAGGGCTTTCTCTATTTGCGATAGAAAATCTAGTAGGGTCTGCAGGGCTACAAACGCCCCTAGAGTTTAGGGTAGTCCCATCCTTTTTATACCTCTTAATTATCAGAAACAAAAAATTACAATAAAATCCTTTCATAAATTTCAAATAGAAGGAAAGATTTTTTAAATTAAAATAATAATCCCCCAAATTACCTATCAAAGGAAAAATATGCTACTGCTAATACTACATGTTTGCAGACTTGCAGTAGCCAAAGTAGCTCTAGAAAAAGAATCAATGTGACATGACCAATTTGCCTTAGACCACGACATGTCAAAAGAGGAGACTGCAAATGACGAAAGAGAGTGAAAGATAAAGCGAAGCTAAAAAAGAGTAATGAGGTTAGGATGTTGCAGAGAAATCTGGTTAATGGAAGAGGCGCAACTTTATTGGTGAAAAAATGCTATCTCTTTCTGTCACAGTTTCACTCCCTCAAAAAGGAAAAGAGGCCAATTATCTTTTAGCCCCATGCATTACAGTATGCCACAAAACACTGAGCTGTGGTCACTCTCAGATTGGTTGTTATCCATTACGTGCTTTATTTGTCGACCCTTTGCATTTCATGCCATTTTTCTGTGATCCCATTTGGATTTTGCTTGGATTTCCTAGCTTCCCACGTGAATTACCAAATTAATCCCTTCGCCTTTATTAATTTCATTGCTTGTTTCACTCATGGTTTTAATTGATTTTATCTCGTCTCTTGTGGTTTTTCTTTTTCCTACTATGAAAACGAACACCACTTCATGTTTTCCTGGGAAAGAAGGGCTCTCAAAGACCCAGGAAAATAAATACTTCTACTAAAAAATTTAGAGTTATGTAACAGTTAGCATTATAACTTTGTCATTGAGGCTGCAAAAGAATTTAATAATATATAAATGATTAGATAATTAATTTATAATTAGATTACTCTGCTTTTTCCTTTTTTCTTATCCCTTAATTTTATGTCTTGCTTTATAATCAAAGTGCTTTTTTTTTTCTTTTCCTTTTTGATTTTCCCTTTAAGTGCCGAATTGATCCTGCTGTACCTGCCTAACACTTCATTTTTCAATGCCAAGGCATATTGTTTCTTCCCTTTTTTGTTCTTTACAAATGGCGTGCCAAGTGATCTGGTTGCTTTTTCTTTTATTTGCAGGATTGATATTGAATTTGTTGAACTACCCATTAATCATTCATAAAATCATAAAAGCAGGATTGAATGAGTAATTCATTAGACTCCAAAACCATCTTTTAAGGAGAGGATTTTTTTTTTCAACAATTGGATTGATATTAATGTTAACCAAAATAATTCTCTGGCCTTACTTGAATGGAGCCATAGAATCTAACAAGCTAAAAAGCCCCGACTCAGCCGGCCAATTTGCTTTCAAGAAGCATATGCCCTAAAGCATATACTGCATCTAATTTAAACTATGAACAAGAAAAACCTTGGAGGATATACTATTATGCCTTACCAATCTTTTATAAGATGAAAGAATCTATTACCATCAAACAACAATAGGAACCAAAAATGCCGGAAACAAAGGTTGTTCTAGTCACCGGCTGAATATTGCAGGGCATTTGCGGGGCAGAATTGCCGCGTCGTTGCCTCTGACATTCCTCAACGCATGGATGACATGTTAGATCTTAGTTCCGATCAAATTGAAAAGATAGAGCTCGATGTTTCATCGGATGAGAGAGTGCCATCGGCTGTGAACACAGTAATATCCAAGTATGGTCACATTGGTGTGCTACTAAATAATGCCGGTATAGGAAGCACAGGCCCTTTAGCTGAGTTTTCACTAGATGCGATCAAAAAAGCTTGGGAAATCAACACATTGGGGGAGCTAAGAATGGTGCAACAAGTTGTGCCTCACATGGCTTCGTGGCGCAGGGGAAGTATAGCCAATGTAGGGATTGTTGTTGGGAGAGTACTAACCCCTTGGGCAGGGTCCTATTGTTCTAGCAAGGCTGCTCCCCATGCCATGACCAACACTTTGCGTGTTGAATTAGGGCCCTTTGGTATCAATGCGGTCCTTGTGGTACCTGGTGCTGTGAGATCTAATTTCGGAAGCTCTAACCTGGAGAGGCTGCGAAATCATGATTGGAAAATTTATAAGGAATTCAAGGATGCCATTGCTGAGCGAGCCAGGTCTTCCCAAGGTTCCCAGGCAACTGATGCCAAGCTGTTTGCAAGAAATGTAGTAAAGAAGGTTTTAAGTCCTAAACCATCAAAGCAGATAGTATTTGGTCCCATGATTGGTGTCACGATTCACATTAACTTGTGAGGTATTATCCGCTCTGATTCATTAACCTTACGATTTTGTCTAACAAAAGGTGTTTTATAAGTTGAAGGGATATGAACTTCAAGATCAATTATAGTACACAGTCGATGTGGGATTCATGACTCCTCTTTAGAACCATGACATCCTCTCTCACTCTAACGGAGACCCACCGTCTTTGGTGGCATATCGTTAGTACCTCTAGAGTTAACTCTGATATCAAATATTACAATTTACATTAACTTGTGAAGTATTGTCCATTTCGACTCACTGTTTGTACGATTTTATCTCACAAAAGATATTTTATAGGTTGAAAGAGTGTTAATTCTTATATTTCAATATCAATTTTAGTATACAGACGATGTATTCATGACTATTCTCTAGGACTATGACAACTTCTTGTTTGTTGTGCTTTCATGGTCTCCACTTTGGGTTAAAGATATGTTTTTCAGTACTCGTTTCAACCTAAACAAGAGGGTTTAATGAATTATAAAAGATGTACTATCAGCACTAGTGAATTGATTAGCAGATCATACCAGTTATGAATTGGTATGTTTTTGAATTACTGGTATTTATCAAATAATAGAAGGAATTTCCTTAATTACGGGATTAAATTGTTAGCAGTACAGCTAAGTGTAAAGACCATTTGAAGCAGACAACGACGAGAAAAGAAAGCACCACAAAACCAAGCCCTTTCCCATCTGCTTCCCAACAAACGGGTCTTGACTTGTGACAATGAAAGGAAAGCAGAATGTGCTGATTGCAGCAGCACAAAGCTTTCATTGTTATTCCATGCACTATTCCTAGTAAAACTTATTGGTCTCCAGTGCTTTTTTTGGTGGATTTTCTCATCATTGCTACAATCAAAAAAAGATGGGAGAGTTGGGGTACCCTCCTCCAAACTCATCTGTTACCCTCTCAAAAACTCTTCCCCACTCTCTTTTCTAACAAAATCATTCTCTCTGGAAATTCTGTCTCCATGAATTTGACTATGGTCATGAAAATTTTGCATGCAAAAATATATATTACTATAACATGAAATTATTCAGGCCAACATATATATGGTACTGAAACTCCCTCTCAAAAAAATCCAATTTGATTTTTGTATCTGAACCTTCAAATCTTTACCATGTTTTACCATGAATTCACTATGAAACATAGCCCTGAAACCGGCGCCGACACCACTTCCCACTCTGTTTGACTGCCGACAACAATAAAGTGTTACTCAAATTTTATAATTTTTGCTACTCGTACTCTTTGGGAATTAGTAAACACTAAATGCTCATGAGAAGAACTTGCCTTTACCGAATGATTATAATTATTTAGAACACCCTTGCAACAAATTCAACAATAACTAAGATAACCTTAATTCTTTATCTGAACAAATTCCCCTAGGCTTCCCTAAAATAGTTGCTAATCTAATATAGTCAGCTACAAGAATAATAATTGTTTGAAGGTGCTGTGAATTTGTCTTTAAATTTAGCTCTAGCTAGTGACAATTTTTTTTTCTTTTCTTAAAAAATAAATCATAATCTAAAAATAAAAATTACATATATTAAAATTTAAACTTAAATAAAATTAAAATTAAACTCCAAAGTCAATTTTTATTTTTGTAAATTTAGAGCTTTGTAATGAATTAAACCAACTGAAATAACTCTAACTCTATCAAAATTTAATTCAAAATTTAACTTAATTAATTTATTCAAATTTAAGTCCCAATTCAATTTTCATTTTTTTCTTCAATGAATATATTCTCGACTCTTTTAATGCCCAGACAAGTTTATGCCAAGTTAAAAGTAAAGAAATTACCGGAGAAATATGCATAGTTTCCAAAAAAAAAAAAAAAATTACAGTTTCACAATCGTCCACCACAAAAATTTTTCCCTTCAAAAAAGTTGAAGGACGGTTGCATTTAATGCAGCAATTAAAGAAAAAAAAAAGAAGCCATCGCAATGGTCAAAGGAAAGTCTTTAACCTTAAAAAAAGGATTTAAACAACCAAACACGGCTTAGCAAATATTCTCCGAGTGTTAAAAGGCTTTATCGAGACAATCGGATATAAAGTGTTCATCCCACAAAAAAAAGCATGTTCTTTTAGGGCCCTTCACTCATCATTTGAGGAATCTCAACTTTGATACAAAAGTTTTGCCTTATACCCTATACCATGCTCTCAATCTCTTAATTTGATTTAGCTTCCTCTATCAGACTCAATTAATAAATTAAATCAAATTTTAACAATTTTTTTCTTTCATATTAAAATTATAAGTAATTTTTATTATTTAAAATTATCAAAAATTAAATGACTCGAATCAAAAGATCACAACTTTAAATTTTACAAAAAAAAAATTAAAGGATGGGTCTTGTTGCAACTTAGCTATAGTCCTAGTTTAGCTTTCCTACACGTTTATCACAGTGACCCACTTCTGGTCTCTTGTCTAGAAGGAGGTGCTGAGTGTTGACTACATCTAAAGCCTTAGATAAAGCAAAAATAAAAGATGGTCTGCCGTACCTGGCACATCATCAATAATTCTGAAATTTTTAATTCTCATAGCTCGACATGGAATTGGACATTGATATAGCAAAATAAATCACATTGGCCCATACTTTCTTTAATCAATTTTGCTCATAAAGCAAAGTTAATGCGCCATTTTCAGCTGCTTCTAATAGTATTTATTTTTCTCGTGCTTTCTTTCTTTGTTATTATTTATTTTGTTGTCTTTTATTTATTATACACCCAAAAGTACATAGAGTTAATTCGTTATGCTAAAGTTTGATATGGCACATAAGGTTAATATTTAAGACTACCAGAAAGCAGGAAGAGACAGGCAAGACAGAGTCGGGGTTGATTTTACAAACTCTCCCTTTAGTTATCTTTAAAAAAATTAGTATATATATATATATATATATCTTACTTTCTCAAAATGATGTCATGAATGTTATATTATCATTGCTATTGATCCTTGAATTAAATTATTTGTGAAGAAGATGCCTGATATGATTTTTTTCAGCAAAGATCTTTAGTTGTTTGATTCGCAGTTAAATTTCACTTAAAAAAATAACATTTAATAATTTTAAAATTTAAAATTTTTCTTTTTTTATATTACAACCTTGTGTATATCATTGCTGTCAATATTAAGTAGAGTTAACTTACTCTAATTACATTTATCAATGCATTTTTTTAACAGGTGCTTGAAAATTGATTTTAAAAGCTTTAACTTTATTTTTTTTTTTCATTGTAAAAAAAAAATCCAATCATCTGCATTGATCAATATTCAATATAATTGTAAAAAATATATATCTGATGTAATTTAGGCTTTGTCTACTTGATAAACAAAATCATCACTCAAACAAAATTTAGTCGTAAAGCTTAATTATGCCAAAAGTTTTTAAATCAAATCCCAATACGATTACTAACTAAGACTTGAGATAGTGAAAGAATTAAGGATGATTTTCTTTTGGTCAAATTATATAATAGATTTTTATATCTTAGTTAAATGGTGAAATTAATTTCTTTATTTGAATATGTTTAAATTTGATCCTTATATTTCAATTAATTGTCAAATTTAGTTTAATTGTTAACAATTTAAACTTTTTCCATTCAAATTGAAAACATGACATTTTGACTTTTCTGATGTCATATTTTTTCTTACATAATTGTTGATTTTGTTAATGTGTAAAGTTCACTTAATCAAAAATGATGATGTGATTAAATTTTTTGATATGTTATTATTTTTTATATCAATTTTTTTCAAATTATACGGCTCGTTCCTATATTTATGTTAAATGGTGAAATTAATCATTCTACCTTAATTAATGTGCATTCAAATTTGATATTTATAAATCCATTAATTATTGAATTTAAGATTTGATCTAAAATATCATATAAAAAATATAATATATTAATTCGACCGTGACCTTTTTTCATATTTAGATAAAATGTTTTTAGGATATTTGAATTATTAATTGAACTTAATTTGATAAATTGAGTTAATCTCAAATTAGATTATAAGTTTAATATAAACTGAATTATATATTTTATTTATCTTTCTTTTATTGATTTATTTTGATTTTTTGTTAATTTCTATTTTCAATATATTTTGAAATATAAAAAATAGATAAAAAATAAAAACTTTAAAAATGATAGAAATATAAAAGTTAGATCAAGAATCCCATAATCAACAAACTCAACAAATCCAAATACATAATCAACAATAAAAGCAATTATAAACATTTAATTTTGTTTGAAAAATTTTAGATATTAAATGGGCTTCAAATTTTGTCTCAACGTTGGGTTTAAAAATGTTTTTAGATTAATTGGGCTTTAATTGTGAAATTGGATTGTTTGCTCAAATTTAAATACCCAAAAATATTTTATTTATTATTATTTATTGTTTATTTTTATTGTTTAGTTGGTGAAAGTCAAGAACTCAAAGTAAAAAAAAAAAAGAAATATGAAATTGAAAAGTAAGGAAATTATTATTATTTTTTTAAATATTGATTTGGGAAAATTTTAATAATTTAACAACAATTGACAAGATAAGACAACAAAACAAAGACAACCAATAAAAATAATTAAAAATAAATTTTCTCAAAAAATTCTTCAAGTTTTAAATTTTTATATCATTATGCTTAGTTTTGCTTTGGATGATGATACAATAATAGTGTCGATAATTAATTTTTAGGTATTAGCAATTTTTGGATCAAATTTTTTTTTATGATTGATGATTTTTTCAATCACTGATTTTTAGAAATCTCATTAAAATATGAATTTGTTGAATGAGACTTATAAAAAGAAGTAAGATAAAAATGAGGATAAAAAAGAGGAGAAACGAGAAAAATTTTAAAAAATGATTTTTTGTTTTTATAATAGGTTAAAATGATATTGTTTTAGAAAATGGGCTTGGTGTAACTTATGTGTTGACTCATGTATTGTTTTTTTTACAACTCAGACTTATTTGTATTAAAAAATTTTTATGTTTTATTTTACTTATTTTAATTAAATCTTAAATTTAATAATTAACTAATTTGTATGGACCAAACTTGAACACATATTGAAGTAGAATGATTAATTTTATCATTTAACTAAAATATAAACGAATCGTACAATTTCAAAAAAGTTAATGTGGAAAAATGCTAACATGATAAAATTTTTTTGCTACATCTTCATTTTATCGCATTGACTTAACACATCAGCAAAATCAATAATCATGTAAATAAAGATTTTACTTCAAAAAAGTTAAAATATTACATAATCAATTTTAACAAAAAAAATTTAAAATATTAATAATTTGATTAAATTTGATAATTTATTAAAATATAAGAATTCAATTTGAATACATTCAAATGGAGAGATTAATTTAATTATTTGATTAAAGTACATATATGTATTGAACAATTTGACCTTTTTCCTTTTTCACAAATACATGTGCTTTTTTTTTTTTTCAATGCCTTTATTAATTGACTTTTTTTTTATAAAAAAATTGTCTCAAAATTATCCAGAAATAAGGCCAGTTCTGGATGAATCAGAAAGAATAAAACTAAATAACATCAACCATATTAAAAATAATAAAACTGTTGCAATTCAAATCCAACCAAATCGAAGCTGAATAGCTGGATGCTTGTTTGTTCTCGTTTGGGTCATAGATAGGCACCTTCATTGTGGCAGGGAATACCAGTTGCCAGTAAGCAAACATGCAAAAGGAGAAGACAAAAAGCCAGTCAAGATTATGACTTTGCCAGGCACTTGCCATGACATGCATGTTTTTACCAAATGGTTAATTTCTAAAAGAATAAAAATAGTTGAATATAAAATTATAAAAATTTAAATATTTATTAGATATAAAATAATATTATTTTAATAAATTTTCATGTTGGTAAAAATAAAATAAATTTATCATATGATAAATTTAAAATAAACAATAAAAAAATTTCTAACTATGATACTATGTTACTATGTTTTGAGTTGGATAAGGAAGAGAAGAGACCGATAATGGCTTTTCTTTGGTCTTTTTGTTCCTTAACACTCCAAGTTTTTGTATAAAAAGAAAAGGACAAACTCATGCCAGAGACCCTAATACCTACCTGTCTTTTTTTGTTTTGTTTTGTTTTGTTTTTTTTTTTTTTTTGAGTTGCAAAAACAAGGGTAGGCCCAGCAAAAGAAGCAGTGCAGTGATAGGTGAGCAGAGATTAGAGACAGTGTTGTCTTTCTGGTATTAAGGCGGTGATAAAATCTATCGCTCTCTTCCTCCAAAGCCTGCTACAGTAATTAAGGCCAACGCTGTACATTGTTTTTTCCTTTCAATTTTACCCCGAAGCTGTGTTAATGTGCTGCAGCTACACCCCAAAATTTATGAAATATCTTTACTATTTTATGAATGACAACTTCATTTTAACGGCACCAATTATTATTAATTTGAGTAATAAAAAATTAGATTTTTTTAAAGTAAAATTTTAGTTTTAAATTTTATGAAAAAATTTATTTTTTTACAAAATTTAATTTTATTTAATTTTAAATTAATTAAAATTTAAAATAATTATCGAATATCAAAATATCTCATATTAAAAAAAAAAACCTTCATTTTAATAGCTTTTCACTTTTTCTTTATGGGGATTTATATTCTTTTGATAAAGCTCATTGAACTAACAGGTCACTCTTTAATGGGTTTTTATTTGCACACCCATTTATTCTCTATCCCTCATTCAATTTTTTTTGTTTATAATCTTTGTAGACATTTATATTTCTTGTAAAGTGATATAAAAAGACTAGTTTTTTTTTTAAGGAGACACCGTTAATTTTCAGTGATGAAAAAATTTAATTTTAATGTAGAATATTGACGTTCTTGTAAATAGAACGAATTATTACATGTACCCAAAAAAAAAATTATTACTAGTACTATTTTTATTGTATGGATGTTAGATATGACTTACTATGTACTACTCTCCTGCCTCATCTTGTAACATTTACTATTAGTTACAATAAAAAATTTCAGCTTCTTAAATTTAAGTAATGTTAATTTTTGGGACTCAAGGAAAATCGATAGTAGTATTTTTAGATATTTATTAAAAATATTTATTTAAATATATATATTAATATATATTTTTTTAAAATTGACAAAATGGTAAAAAAATTCTTGAATTAAAATTTAATAATCATCCAAACATTTTTATTTTTTTCAATTAATTAAATTTTAAATATCTATGTTCATCAATTTAACTCTTGTTAAAAAGATAATTAACTATTTTCGTCAAATTAAAATTTAATTGAGTGAAAATAGATGTATAATGATATAATTTAATAAAAATAAATATTTACAAATTTAATTAATTATAATAAATTGTAAAAAATTTAAATGATTATTAAATTTTTTTAAAATTTTTTTTGTATCCTTATACCTTTTAAATTTTACTTATTTAATTTATATAATTAATTTTTTTATTTATCAATTTTAATTTTTATTAAGCCACTTTTAATTAAAAAAACCTCAAAAAAGTTCACCTGAAAAATTCTTTGTTCCCCGCATACGCATAAGATAAAAAAAAAATATTTACAATAATAAAAAGAACATTGCTATTAAGCGCTTACGTCCCAATCCCTGCAAGTATTTGGAGTTCAAATTAAAAAGACAAGAAAGAAAAAACGAAATTGTATGTACTGGTGACATTTTTGGGGTTATCGAAGAGGAAGCAGCGGTATCCACATGAGAAAATCAGGTTCCATGGTTCGTAAGCGGTACTACAGCTAGGACTGCTACTGTTACTAGTATCTTGTCTTAGGCTGCAGCAGCTTCTGGCTGAGGCTGTGGCTGGTATTAAGTAAATCAATCTTTGAATTTTTAATGTGTTTTAAGGGAGGGGTCTTAAAAGGAAAAGAGAGATAAAGAAAGGGGAAATGCAAGGAGCGTAGGGTAAAGCAAAAGAAGAGGTCTTTCTCATACGCAGATCCCTATGGAATGGAGTAAGGATGCCCGGCATAGCTTGCTGGAACTCATTCTTTTTGTTTAGTTTAAAGGAACTTGCTTTGTTTCTCTTTAGATATCTTTTCAGTGAGAAAGAAAAAGAGAGAGAGTCTCTCATGCATATAGAATAGATCCAGTTGCAGGAGTTTTGGATTTATATTAGATGTGTTGTTAGATTTGGTTCAATAACTGCTGCAGCTACAAAACAAAAACACCCCAGTGTTCTTATTCCTCTTCTTTTTATTCTTTTCAAAATGGAGTGAAGCAAGGAGATGGTTCGTTTATGATTAGTTTAGTAGTTTCCCAATGATTGAGTTGTCATGCTCTAGAGAAACTTGCCTAGAATCTTTGCTAAGTTGGAAAGAAGCAGCATAGTTAGAATATGAAGTCCATGAGTAACGATGATAACAATAACAACAACAGTAACAATACTAACTGGTTAGGCTTTTCTCTCTCTCCTCACTTGAAAATGGAGGTTAGCAACCAAGACCCTCATCACCATACACAGTCTGCTTCTGATGCTGCTGGTGTTACCACAGCAGTTCCAGCAAGCTTTTTTCAATCTCCATCTCATCTTAATTATGGACTTTATTATGGAGTTGAAGGAGAAAATGGTGGCTTGTACTCTCACTTTCCTGTAATGCCACTGAAGTCTGATGGGTCTCTTTGTTTAATGGAAGCTCTTGGCAGATCACAGCCACAAGGTTAGGCCCAAATTTCTACTTGTATATTCTTTTCGTTTGGAGTTAGTTTTGTGCTTTAGGGAAAATAGTAGTTTTCTTAAACTTCTGGACTTTTCTGTCTTTGACTTTTCGAGTGAAGCAATGGTTCCTACTTCAACTCCAAAACTGGAGGATTTCTTTGGGGGTGCAGCCATGGGGGCCCATCACTATGAAAGCAGTGACAGAGAAGCTATGGCTCTAAGTTTAGACAGCATGTATTACCATCAAAATCCGAATCAGGAACACAACAATCAAAATTGCCTAGAGCACCTGCAGCAGTCCTCCAGGCAACAGCACCAACAGCAGTTTCAGGTCCAACAATACCAATATCACTCAGGATATAGAAACCAAGAAATGTTACTAGGAGAAGAAGCTAAAGAAGCCCATCTTACAGATTGCAATCTTCAGCTCCCAACCATGGCCAATGATGGAGCACCTGGAATGAAGCACTGGGTTTCAAGAAACTACTCCACTGAGCATGCAATGCATCACAAGATGATTGGCCGCATGGGTGATAATGGAGCTGAATCTGGCTTTATTGGTGCAATGGCATATGGAGATTTACAGTCTTTGAGCTTGTCCATGAGTCCTGGCTCACAATCAAGCTGTGTGACTGGTTCACAGCAAATCTCACCTACTGCAACTGACTATGCAGCCATGCAAACCAAGAAAAGAGGACCTGAAAAGGTAGATCAGAAGCAAATTGTCCACAGGAAATCCATTGATACTTTTGGGCAGAGAACCTCTCAATATAGAGGTGTTACAAGGTTAGTATATTTTCCTGTATCCTTTAATCCAGTTTAATATTCTTCTGTCTTATATGCTTTCCTGAAAAACTAGTTTGTTTTTAATTGGTCTTTACATTTTAACTGAAAAAGCTTTTCTTTCCTTACAAATCAAAGGTTTTATCCGATTCTTTCTTGCATTCTGTTTGTCTCTGTCTTGATTTTGGCCTGCACCTGTTGAAGACAACTTTCTTTTTTATTCATTTTTAAAGCATTTCTCTTTTTGCTTATTAATGTTCTGGTTTCTGTTACTCAGACATAGATGGACCGGAAGATATGAAGCTCATCTATGGGACAACAGTTGCAAGAAGGAGGGGCAGAGCAGGAAAGGAAGACAAGGTTAGTGCATATAAGAGAACCACCAGCATATAACCTCTATTTTTGGGGTACTTTTTTGTTCTTGACCTGACTCATTTTTTATATCCTACTAATATTTTTATATTTTTTTCCTTTTTATTACTTGGGGCACGGTTCTAATGAAATGATGATTCTCAGTTTATTTAGGTAAGCTCTTCTGACTTTATTAATAATTATCAAGTATATTAAGGTCGATCCTGTCATGTGCTGAATACCAAGTCATTCCAAAATCTTAATTTTAGGGGGTTATGACATGGAAGAGAAAGCTGCAAGAGCTTATGATCTAGCTGCACTCAAGTATTGGGGACCCTCCACTCACATCAATTTCTCAGTAATTATCTAATTCTCATTACATTTTCAAATCTTCTGGTTCCATGTAACCTTTTTTTCGTTTGTTCTTAGTACTGAATTGCAATTATGATGTTTTTTGTGGCAGTTGGAAAATTACCAAAAAGAACTTGAAGAAATGAAGAACATGACTAGACAGGAGTATGTTGCTCACTTGAGAAGGTAAAATCTTTGCCCCCTCTCTTTCCATCGTGGTGCAAGGATCACTATGATTTATGTTATTCAATGATTATAATTCTACTATATATGCAGGAAAAGCAGTGGATTCTCAAGGGGAGCTTCAATGTACAGAGGAGTGACAAGGTCGTTTTATCGTACTTCAATTTGGAAGTTGAACTCCAACTCACCATCGTATTCATCTCTTTTTTCTCATAGTTTTTCCTTTGTTTTATTGAAAGTTTAAACAGACATCATCAACATGGAAGATGGCAGGCTCGGATTGGTAGAGTTGCAGGGAACAAGGACCTTTATCTTGGAACATTTAGTGAGTTTCTTAGGGTATTTGTTTTACTATTTTATTTTATTTAATCATCTCATTGCTATTTAGAGTTTAGAGCCAATATAGTAGAGCGTGTTTTTATTGACTTTAGAAGGGCAGCTTTCCAGCCACCTGTCATGCTTCCATAAGGCTGAGCTTTTCCCAAAAGGAAAAAAAAATTCAAAAGCAAAGCGAAAGAGAAACAACAGCTTCTACAAGGCTGTTTCTCCACGAACATGCACCAAAAGAAATTTGAATGTAATTCTAGATTAAGTCTACTTTTTGTGCATTTTTAGTTAGGCTAATTCAAGCTTCTTTATGAACTCAATTTCAGGCACTCAAGAGGAAGCAGCTGAGGCTTATGACATAGCAGCCATCAAATTCCGTGGGGTGAATGCTGTGACGAACTTTGACATAACAAGGTACGCAGTGGAAAGAATCATGGCAAGCAATACCCTTCTTACCGGAGAACTCGCTAGGCGAAACAAAGATATAGCACCTGGTAATGACGCTATCAGTCACAACCTTTTAACCGATAACAGCAATGGTGAAACCAATATTTCACCAAAGAACAATGAAGTTCAACCAGACTGGAAAATGGTGCTGTATCAGTCCTCTGAACAGCAACTTGAGCAGAAGCAACCAAATATTATTGACAGCTATAAGACTCAGACTTTTTCGTTGGCCCCAGAAAACATGGTTGGGATTGACACAATCAGCTCAGGCCAGAGAGAGGTGGATGATTCAAGCAAGATAGGGACTCACTTGTCGAATGCTTCTTCATTGGTAACTAGTTTGAGTAGCTCAAGAGAAGGTAGCCCAGATAGGAGCAGCCTACCAATGCCGTTTGCCATGCCTCCTCCATCATCCAAGTTGTTCACTAGTTCAGCAAATACTGTGAATTCTTGGATTCCTTCAGCTCAGCTGAGGCCTGCACTCTCCATGCCTCACATGCCAGTTTTTGCTGCTTGGACAGATGCATAGATTAGACGTTTTGGTATAGTAGCAAAAAGTTTTTTTTTTTTTTTTTTGGCATGGAAAAAAATTCATCAGGAAAAAGAAAGTTTGGTCTTTTGTGAGTTTTTCCTTAGTGGAGAAAGTTGAGGAGTTAATGGAGGTATATGTGGGACCTGTTGTGAAGAAGAACAAAGTTTAAACTCATATCCTTTTTAACCTTCTCTTATGAAGATCTTGAAAAGAAATTGGTAGATGGAAAGCTTTAGAGACGTTACGATTGAAGTCTATGAAATGATTTTTGCAATATGGGATGATGACCCTATTTCATAATTAGCTTTACCTTTTATCGACCCTCTTTTAAGTACAGAAACAGCTCAGTATGTGTCCCAATAATGCAAAGCTGGTCTTCTGCTTTGGGCCTTTGACCACAATATCTCTGATCTCAAACACCCTTTGGTTCGCTATGTCTATAACAGCATCATTGCCAATATCCCCTTTCTTATCTCAGCTTTCGCCAAAGGAAAAAAAAAAAAATAGACATTCCTTCCCATAATGCAAAGAAAAAAAGAAAGGTCCGAGGGGAATGGATTCCCTTCTATACGAGAAATATAGGTGCTTTTATAATTATTTTAAAATTTGTCTTCTATATTGGTGGAGAGATGATTTTCCCCTTTCTTTCTAAACCCACTAACTGTGAGGCTAATGATGCAGTGGAGTATTTAAAAGCTATTCCATGTCCAATTGTGGGTTTCCATGACCAATGAAAAGTTTGACTGATTAGATGACCGTGTGTTTTTCACTCGTGTGGTATGATTTCTTCCTTCATGCACACGTGCATACTCAAAGCACTCCCATCCCATGCAAATTGCAACATGATGGACCAACTGTGAAAGATTACAAACCAAAAACTCATTGCTACTGGACACAATCCAAGGGTTTCAAGCTGATTTCCTTACGCAAAACTTTTAGGATTTTAGGGTGCAAGATATTCTGCTGACGTCTAACAAGTGAAAACTCTTTCGGAAAGTAGAAAATTTCAATTTCTAGTTCTTGGTTCGGCTCCATTGCAGTCCCAAAATCATCAATGTCAAACCAGCCTATAAAGTAGCATTCGTTTAAATCTACTGAGAAGTAGTAGTTCTAAAAGAAACAGTGGCTAGGCCTGGAGTTATTGCTTAAAAACAATAAAACAAAGGTTCTGCAGATTATTTTTTGTGCTTGCCAACCTCTTAACTGAGGCAGCTAAGCTACATTGGTAAAGAAATTAGCTGAATGGCAGCAATGCAAAAACATTGAATAATAATTTTGAGATTCAGTTTCATGATTGAATAATTTATTTCTATGGCTATGTAGTTAAATGCAAGCATTTGGAGTTTGACATTCTGGCATTTGGAGTTTGACATTCTGGGTTTTTTTTTCTTCAGTGTTTACGATACTGAAATGTGGTAGCCCCTTATTCTTCCTATTTATCATCACAATCTACTAGATTCTAAGTTCTTCATGCAAGCACCAGAAATCTTTTGACAGCTTGAAACATGTAGACTAAAAGGATAAGAAGAGTTGAAAGTACTGGATCGTTTTCTTTTACGTAAGTTGGCAACTTGGCAGATTATGTAATCCAATAGTAGATTCTTTGTTTTTATAGCTAAAAGCAGACTTTTCTTTGATTAAGTGCGCTCTCTACATAAGACAGGCATATTTTGATAATGAAAAGTGTGATTTGAGAAGATTGATTTTGATTCTAAGTAGTCAAGATTTTTTTTTCTTTGTCCAAAGTATAGAAACTACAGTACATCTACTATTACTATCAGCTGTTTTTGTTGCCTCTATACCCTTTTTTTACTAGCATGAAGATCTCATGTAATCAAAGGACAACCCAACTGGGGCACACCAATTTTCAAACATATAACACCTTCTCCTTGGTGTGAAAACAGTGTTTTCCCTGTTAAATTAATGATCATTTTGGATTTTAATGCCTTATTTAAGATAAAGATATATACAGCAAAAATGAGTGGTCTATCTCAACCTCAGGAAGACATAAATAAAAGAAAACAAAGAGACAGCAAATAGAATTATTGCAAGATAAAAGGCAAACAACTAAGGGTTGGCTTGGCTCTAGGTGATCAAAAGAAATGACAACACTTTGTGGAAAAATCTCATGAAAGCTAAGATAATGCTAACCTTTGGTTCATTAAAGTTTCTGGGTAAGCTGTGAACTAGAGCATTAATCATGAAAATTATCAGTGAAATTTTCTTTTTCCCTCTGCTAGACTAGCAATAGGTCGGTCCAAGAATAATGTCCAGTCGACCATGACATGATCTGCTTGAAACAAAATTTCTTCAATGGACCTGATTCCTTTACAAGAATTTTATGTTGAAAACAAACAAATTTCTAGACATTTTTTCTTCAGGCAACATATCTTTTCAGATTCATAGGTGATGCTAGGAAAATAGCAGAAGGATAATGATTTATAGCCCAATGTCAACACTTCTTATGACAAAATGTAGGGGGATTTAAAGTTTTTGCATTCAAGTTTCAAACTTCAAATCAAGTGAAGAATATGCTGCCGGGGAATCTCCTAGACAAAAGGCTTTTGCATTTGGACTAAACTTCTCTCTTGTTTCTTTCATACATATAAATTCAATTGAACTTTATTGTATATACACGAAATTCAAAATTTGTGATTAAAATCGGCTTTTTATGCATTTGTAGTAGAAATAGAAAGAAAATAAAGAGAAAGAAGGCACTACTTTACTGTCCTAAAATCCTATTCAATATTAATTCTAACCATCATTTCAAACAAATATTAACTCTAACTATGATTGTTAAACCGAGATAAATCGAAATTTTATTTTTAAGAATCGAGCATCATGTGTTATATAGTAAGATAGAGTAAATAATTTTAAAAATTAATTATACGTAAAATATACATCTAAAAAGTAATTCAATGATAAGTGTAAGTTCAGATTTTCAATTTTTCAAATATAAAAAATATAAAAAAATTAATAAAGTTAATTTTTTATACAGTAAAATTTTTAAATTTCATAATATCTAAAATTTTCTTACTTATATTAGTCTTTTAAATTTTTTATATACTCTCAAAAGTACATGCTAACCCTCTAATTTCATTAGTAGAATTTAAAATCTCCGTTGATGTCGTATGAGATAATTTTTCATATTAATATAAATTTTATCTCAATTATATTGATTTATTTCTTAAAGAAATGAGAATCATGAAAAATTATCTTTTGAAGACGGATACATTTACATTAATATAATTTTTACATTTTTTTTGAACCATTGAATGAAAATAATTATTTTTAAAAATATTTTTTATTCAAATTAGTTATAATTTTTTTTTATCCAATGATTTAAAAAAAATTAATATTATAGTAATGTAAGTGTGTTCTACTTTTGACATTTATCTTATTCTAACACTTACCTTTACATAAAAAAAAAAAAAAAACTAATCTCTAGTAAATTATAAAGCCATTCATCAAAGATATGTGTGGGTGATCTGTCATCTGATAAATTTTGAGATGCCTAGTCTTTATCTTTACAGCCAAATGGTAGAATTTGAACAAATTTTCTTGACAAAGACATTTTCTTTTTTTTAGAAAATCAACTGTTACATAATTTGAGTACTTTTGGAACTGGATGGGTACTTGATTGAATCAATAATGGCACAAACGATTACGTAGGCAAACTTTTCATTTATGACCAAAGGAGAATCCTCAGACAAATTAAACTCTTCCTTTCAAAGAAACCAAGACCATGCAGTGAAAAAAAAAAATCAGGCAATAATTTCAAATGGGCCAGGCTAATCAAACGCAAACGATCCACTAGTTTTCCCTGGTCATGCTGCAACCAACTGACTGGGCCTGTTCTTTGATTGGTCTGACTGATTCGAAGGCATTTGGACCCATTAGGGTCCCAACAACAATTGGGTAAGTTATTTCACTCAAATCTAACTTTTCTGGTTTTTTTTTTTTTTTTTTCTTTTGTTTTTAAGATCCACAAATACACTAATTATTCCTTAAATCAGTCGATATATTATTAAAATTAATATTTAAAAATTATGGATTTGAAAAAATTTAAATACTTAATATTTTTTTTCAATCAAATATATAATAAAATATTACACGAACAAATAAATTTTGTCTTGGACTCCACATTGAAACAACCATTGTTTTTGTTTTTAAACATTCTGTGGTTTACATTTAATTTTTTTTCAAGCCCCAATTGTTTGAGTCTTCTTTGTATTTTATAGCTTTAAAGGTGGCTTAAATTAGTCTTCAATGGAACTACTATTGGTGTATGGCCTTTTTGGACAGTTATTATTTCATTCTTTATCGAGAGAAAAAGAAAAGGGTTTGGTTTTTGTGTCTCGGATTGATTTGCAAATCGCTATCTATAAGACTAAAACAAACCCAAAATAAATGTTTTTGTCCAGCATGATCCCACCAAAGTCCAATTCAATGAGAGTGTTGATTTTGATTGCTTAGCATTCAACATGAACATGAGTTGTCCCACCAATGCTATGTTAAAAAGTTGGTATATTGTTGTCTTGGGGGCCCATTATATCACGGTTGGGCTTCCCAAACGGGTGAAGTTGACACCAACAGCAACAGCACGAAATCATCATTTATTTTGTTGGATGAGACCTCGAAGAATTTTTTTTGGATGCTTCGGTCAGGGTTTCTTCAAGGGTTTTTTAGATTTAATTATCCTATAAAAAGGTTTTTGTTGATGTTTAGCTCCATCAAATCCCTAAAATCACAGTAGAAAAAAAGAATGATTAAGAGTAAAGATAAGATATTTGTTGATGTTAAACTTTGAATTAAGGATTAAATTCTCGAAATCATAATAGAAAAAAATGTGGTTAAGAGTAAAAATAAAAAATAATCCTTACATTTCCACTCTATACTTAAGTTAGAAATCAGTCAAGAGAGATCAAAAGAAGAATGGAGAATGGGCAAACTAAAAAAAAAATAAAAATCAAATGATTTATTATTATTTACTTTGGCAAGGGGTTACCCTAACACTTGTATCGATTTGCCTTATATAATATTTATAAGCATTATTATATGGGCAAGTCGGCCAAGACTTCTTTTTAATTATTTTAATTTAATCACTATTGTTTTAATAAAAGAAATAATAAAGATTTTTTTTATATATTGAATTAGAGAGGGACGTAGATGAATTTAAATTCTTATCTTACAAATAATTTAATATTTTAAATAGTTGGATAAATCATTTAGATTAAAAGTTCAGATTCAAATAAAGACTAAAAATCAAGATATAAATAAATTATTGTATTAATTAAACCTAGATGGAATCTCATTCCATTATTTTAACTCCATGGTGCTTACCTACCAAATACTCCATAATGTTCATATATCACATTTTAAACTAAGTACCCCTTTTTCTGCTGTTGAAGGTCAATGAAAAATGTATTGTCACATCCAAGTGTGCTTTTATTTCTTGCCCAAACGGATTCGACGTATCTTTATCTGTCCTTGTATGTACCCACAAAGCTTGGATTGAAGGCGGCAAGGGTTTGTTTTGCCATTTACTAGACGGGGGAAGAAATTTTTTTTTTTCTTGTTGGGCTGTAGTTAAAAGGAGATGATGTGAGGAAGGCATGAGAAGATAGGGCCTCAGAATTAAGGCTTTCAGGCCCCAATTTACACAACAAAAAAAAATTTAATGGGCCAATGGGGATCTTTCATTTTCAAATTGGTCAGGAAAAAAACCCTTTTTTTAAGATAACACAAGAATGGAACCCCAACAGTGTGTTGGTTTGTAGGCATTCACTTGGGTCCCTTGTGGCTTCAGCCATGGTAGCCAAGGAAACCCCCCGGGTTCAAGCCTTAGTTTAGGGGACCATAAAAATGAAGCCCAACTAATATGTTTAATCCAAAAATTTGATGAAAGTATTTCAATACTTCTAAGACAAATTGTATATTAAGTGCTTATTTGCAAATGTGATGAAAATGACTTTGATCATTCTTTATTGTATCACAATTATGTTTTATGATTCAATTATAAAACATCATCATAAAATTACTTTTTGACTGTATTACCAAATGAACCATTACTATATTAATAGTTTAAGTAGAGCATCATTGATTGACATTTAACTAAAAAAAGTTTGACATAATAGATCAACACTGTAGAACTGACTTCTGGTCTTTGCTTGTTTGTTCCATTTCATGGTTAGGGGACGTCATTGAGACTTCAAGGACAACCATGTAAGGTAGAAATGAGTAAAATAAAGAGAATATTGTAAATTTAATATTTTTTTTGGGTGCTAGATAATAGGAATAATTATGAACAATGACCTAGCCAATTAGGGCAAAATCAGTTTGTTTGGAGATTGGTTTGGTTAGCAAGTGAATGTACCTATACAAGAATAGGTTCAAATTATAATTCTATTTAAAATAATGATAAATTTGAAACTTATTCCTGCGTTATATTTTACTAATTTCATATCAAAAGTGTTTTATAAAGTGAGGGAAAATGAGGGCCATGCTGTATTTAATATTGTTGACTAAAAAATAATGGGTTTTCTAGAAACTATGCAATAAAATTCTTGCGTGACGCCTTTAGTTTCTCCTTTGTGCTTCTTAGGGTTTCTTCCTTCACCTGTTGTTGCCTCTTGCTTCAAGCATTTGCACGCAAAACTTTTGCACGAAAAGTTTTCTTGTGGGGTGAGCTTTGTGTCAAATAAGGAGTCTCTAGTTTTGACTGTGTGAGCTCAAAAAGATTGACTACCAAAGCAATCAATATCAATTAGGACAAACCCCACAAACATGAAACTTTTTCTTTAATTTTCTTCCCTTCCCCTTTCTTTTTTCAATGTTACCAATTTTGCCATATGTAATCTCACATGAGGAGGATTATAACAAAGACATGATTTCTTTTCTCAAGCATGCGATGGTTTGGTTTGGTCTTACCAATTAGGCATGCCTAAGTAATAATTATAATTGTTTGCCAGGAAAAAGCTTGGCTTTGACAACGAAACTTGGCTTTCTTTTTGCTGCAATTTTAATGACAACCAAGGCAGAAAAAAAAGAAATGTATGAAGAAGAAAGTATGAACGGTCAGTCAGAGCTCAACATGGGTTTTCAGAGCACTCAAAGAGCTGTAGCCTGTACAAAATTTTCCACTGATTTCAATAGCGAATCAATCATAGACACAAATTTTTTGGTCCCATTTCTAAAGGGTTTATCAGAAGCTTAGTAAGAAGAGAATGTGTCATATTCGTCACCACACGAACTAATTAGGTGATGTCAATTCATGCTGTATTCTATTCATTTTTTGTCAAAAAGATTGATTTATTTCAATTTGGAGCTTGGACAATAAAAGTTTTTTTTTAAATTTCATTTAAAAAATTTCATTTTTTAAAACTTCATTTGAACGAAGGAATTCCACCCTTGCTCGGCTGACAGAAATACATTCCCTTGTCACTGAACCAATATGAACGAAGAATTGACCAAAAGGGTTTCTGTCTTTGAAGTAAACGACATTATATCATAGAAAACTTAAAGAGTCACTAAATTTCAAATTGGCAAGGCAGGCAAATGACATGAGTTTTCCATTTCTAACAGATGATGATTCAGTCCAATTGACTGACTCCATATAATTAGTCAGCTAAAAAATGATTATAGTTATGCAGATCTGATGGTTACAGTTAGCCAATGTGTTATAGCAAAATCAAGAGTGAGAGAAAGCATTAATGATGCAATTATAAATCACTAAAATTTGCGTCATTGTATTGTCACGGAATGCTGGAGAAATCTTTTGCGAGCAATCTCATTCTCCGATTCCTCCCTTCACCGTTCCTTGAACGTGTCAATCAATCCCACAACGACAACACTACAACAATCACCTGCTTCCTGCGGGTTCCCTAGAACTTAAAGCCCCCCATCTCTCCCCACAAATATTAAAATATTAAATCAACCCCTTACTCCTTCCCTATACCGTTTCAGCTCTTCGCCTCTCTAATCCGTCTTGTCACCATCCTTAGGCCTCAGTCGTGCAGCTCTCAGTCCCATTTCTCTCTTTTTCTCACTTTGGCTTAAATTTTATCAAACACTCTTTCACTTTCACCAACCGCTCTTCGAGTCCACCCCCCCTTAACCTCTCTTTGTTTGCTAACGTGCGCCTATAAGAAAAACAGAAGAACAGGAATTGTATACAACAGAGCTTCTCTCTCGTGTTGTTTTGTTTATTGCTATCTTATTCCATTATAAGCGAAACACAAGGAGGAGAAAAAAAAAAAAAACCGTTGAGACCTGTCTTTTTACTCTTTTCATTTCCTTGCCATCTGCTAAAAATTTCATCTTCATGGTCAGAACTAAAACAGAAGACCAAAAAAGAAGCCACCTTTTTTTCTTCCCCGTCTTTCTCCCACATAACCAAGATATCCGAGAATCAAAGAAAAAAGTTTTAAGGTCTAAGACCAAGTTTTTACTTTACCAGGGACCTTTTTATTTTTCTTTCATGGGTCTTCTAATTCTCTTACTGCTAACGTGCGCCGCACTTCCATTGGCTTCATCAGATCCTAACGATGAGGCTTGTTTAACTCACTTAAGCCAAACCTTGAAAGACCCATTAAAGAACCTGCAAAACTGGACCAAATCCATCTTTGCAAACCCTTGTAACGGTTTCACTTCTTATCTCCCTGGCGCCACTTGTAATAATGGTCGAATCTACAAACTTTCCCTTACAAACCTCTCTCTCCAAGGCTCTCTCTCACCTTTTCTCTCGAACTGTACCAATCTTCAGTCGCTTGACTTATCTTCAAACTCCATCTCAGGTCCCATTCCACAAGATTTACAATATTTAGTCAATCTGGCAGTGTTGAATCTTTCATCAAATCGTCTTGAAGAAGAGATCCCACCACAGCTTACATTATGTGCTTATCTAAACGTCATTGATCTTCATGACAATTTACTCACTGGTCAGATTCCTCAACAATTAGGCCTTTTAGCACGGTTGTCAGCTTTTGATGTTTCTTACAATAAGCTTTCAGGGCCAATACCAGCCTCTTTAGGGAACAGAAGTGGGAATTTGCCAAGGTTCAATGCTTCTTCTTTTCAAGGAAATAAGGATCTTTATGGATACCCTTTACCACCTATGAAAAGCAAAGGGTTGTCTATTTTAGCCATTGTTGGGATCGGATTGGGAAGTGGACTTGCTAGTTTGGTTCTTAGTTTTACTGGAGTTTGTATTTGGTTGAAGATTACGGAGGAAAGGATGGCTGCCGAAGAAGGGAAGATTAGTCAACTTATGCCTGATTATTAGAAGCTTGATTCAATATGTTATTGAAGATTTCTGAGCTAAAATGGAAAGATTGAAAAATTCCAGGTATGTTTTTAAAATTATTTTTTCTTTCTTCTCAATTTTAGTGAGGTTTGGGCTAATCTTATTTAGAGAAGTTGTTTTTTACTGATTGTTTTCCTTTTGGAGAGAGTTTTCCTGGTTTTTTTGGCTTAACTATTCTGGGCGTTTTCTTCTTCTTTTATCTTCTTTTTGTGTTTCTCTATAATATTTATCTTCAACAATCATCAACAATGTATAAAGCAATTCAAACATGAGCCTTTCCAGTACAAGTAATGCAGTTTCGTATTATTGTAAATGAATTATTTGCTGTTTACATTTTTCAATCTTTTTTCTCAAGTCTCCCCAGAGTGCAGAGTCGTGGGGTTGATGAATGAAAGAACTGCGCCGTGGAATTTTGTTTGCTGGTGGCAATAGCGAAAAAAATATTATAAAGAAAAGAGTGGTGGGGCTGGGCACTCTGGCTTGGGGGGTGTGGGGTGGTGGGAGAACTGAGTCTTTGTAAAATCCTGAAGGCCGAAATTTGGTTGCATTCATTAATAATTGGCTTTACCTACTTGTGGTTTCTTATGCTCTGCTAATGTTAGCCGGTGGGAGATCGGCACCTTCACATTGCATGCCTATGTATATATAATATATTGTTGGAACACATGCGTATGTGATTGTCTACTTCTTACAACAAAAAGATATGCTTTAATTAACTTTATACTTTGGTTTGTGGGTTTGGTCAAGCCAACATTCGGGACAGTTCCCTGCTTGTTTCTGCCTAATGCTTTTGGGTTCAAAGTTCTATGGGCGCATATAAGAGGAAAAACCATATTGCCTTGATGATTAACGTTCTTTTAGTTTGAAGATGGGGAATGAAGATTCAAACCCCTTCTTTGAGTGAAGAATATCTGATTCTCATTTATTGAAATGAGAAATGGCAAAAGGAATTTCTTTCTTTTTTCTTCAGCATTTGATTTGAGTAAAAAATAAGGATTTTTTAACATTGATGAAGTGGTTTCCATTATTATGTGGGTTTTTGCTTGGGTTTATGAGTTCAAGGCACTTGAATTTCCTTCACCTTTCTATATTCATTTTGTTTTCACTTTTAGGTTGACAGTCTAGAGTTCTAGCCTTCTAGTATTTGTTTATGTTTTCAAAGGCAACTTTATTTTCTTCATTGGCAATGAGCAAGTTAGTGATGCCAAGATTTTGCTTGAACCTTATTTTAATCTTTGAAGCTATGTACGGCAAATGGTTAACCTATTTCATAAGATTGGAATTTTAATCTTTGAAAAGAATTTATGAATTTTGAACTGTACAAAGGGTAAAGTCCAAGATAATAATGGTTAGTAAATTATTAAGTAGAAATTTCCATGCAATGCTTGTTTGCTTTTCTTGGGTGCTACTCAACTACCATGGTGAAAACAGACAAAAATGGACCCCATTTCTTAATGTTCATGTTCTGAATTCGGGTCCTTAAACTGCGCAATAAGCAGGAAAACCAAAGTAAATGAACAGTGAAAGAAATTGGAACAAGCCTATTCCAGAAATTTGGAAAAAACAAACATGAACAAAGCATTCTTGGCCAAACCGAATTAGACAGATCTAGTGACACTATAATGAAATGTTTTATCTTTTTAAAGGTTCACTCAACAAAAGCCAATTTTAACCAAAGTCTAGGCCCACAATTGTCTTCAGCCCTATGGATGGCTGTGATTGCAGAAATTTCAAGTCACACCGAAAGTAGTTGATGGTCAAATTTGCTTTCATTCCTCTTACTAATGGGTCTTCCGAGAATGGCATGCATGTCATCATGGGCTGGACCCCATATATGTTAATTTGTCCATGTTGTTGGCTGAAAAGAGAAAGGAAAAAGAAGTTGAAATTGGTTATATATATATATATATCGAAGGATTCATCTGATTCTGATTTTGATATGATCCATTGCTACTTTCATCTGAATTTTAGTCACAAGGGTTGGGGTTTTACTTTCAATGCCATTCACGCCCATGATACTAGTTTTAATATACTCTTTTTTTTTTTTTTTTGGTTGGACCGTGTCATCAATTTTGAACAATTTAGATTGGGTTTGTGTCAATGATTTTTTTTTTTGTCTATTAGTGGATCGGGGATATACTGACATTTTGAAAAGTCATGAATTTCAAATCTTCTTATTCATTGACCTATTAATAAATACATAAAAACAAAAAGATTGAATATGATCTTTCTTACTCTATTAACAAACTAATATAATTTTTTTTTGCCAATAATTAATATAAAGTTCAAAATAAAAAAATTATAGGTGAAATTTGAAACTTTGGCCAATGGATTATGTTTGTATTGAGCTCCAATCTCAGGGTATTCCTAAAAAAATAAAAGAGAATGACGAATAGAGACAAAGGTAAGCAGTATTTTTTATGTTTGCACTCTGATGCATAAGTTAGAATGAGTGAGGTCGGAAGGAGAGTAGTAAAAGAATTATGAGTAAAATGGACTTGCCTTAATAGTGCCTAAACATTCGTATTTATGGATAAGCGATAATGAACCATTAGGAGACAATAAGAACATAGTCGAGCTGATGTAGCACTAAGTATGTTAGACTAACCTGACATATCAGGTCGACACAAATATCAAAATTATCTCTAGTCGTCTGCTGAAGGTTTCTAACATAAAACAAGACCACTATACCTTTTTGACAACTAAATGCTCCCAACATTCTATCCCCTCATTTAGTAATTTGAGTATTAGACTATTAGGTGTGCGATTGACACACTCCGTGTAAGGTTGATAGGTAAAAGAAAATGACGTAAAATTTGATTCTTTGCAATTGATGTCATAGAAAAGGTTGGCAATGGGAGACAATTAGCCTTAAGTCGTGGTCTAACCTTATTGGGGTCTGATCTTACGCTTATGTCTTAGGTTGAGTGTATAGCTGGTTTAAGGGTCATCGAAGTGTTAATTATTCGGGATGATCTAATATTAGTGTTGGAGTTCGTCTGGTCAACGTAGGACTTATGTTTTATTTTAAGAGTTTGAATTTGAGTCTCTACCTTAAACTTTGATGATGAATTGAATGTTCGATTTATGACAAGAAGTTATTCGGTTTGGTCAGTTTAACCTGGGGTCCATCCGGTTTGGTTGTTCTGACTGTATTAAATGAAAAAATATATAATTTGAGAGAAAAAATTAAAAAAAAAAGATAAAAAGATGTCTTTCCAAATTTGTTTTGACACATGCATAGTCTATGCCATTCATCTAATTTGTGATGAAATTTTATAAAAAGTTGTTTGGGCTTTCCTTTTTCATTCTTCTACTTTCTTTGTTCTTCATCTTATCTAAGTTTTTCGATCTAAAAAACTTTTCAGCTTTAGGGTTCTTATTCTTATCAGTCGTTTTTTTCATTTTCTTCGATAGGTACTTTCAATTATGTGTTCTAGTTTTAGTTATGGAGAAGTCGAAAGTTTCAGAGTAAAACTTAAGGGGGTCAGCTTAGGTAAGATGATGACAATTTGATTTCACCAATTATCGAAGGTCGTGATTGTTAGAATATGGCCTTCTAGTTTAACTCGATGTCTAAAGAAAGATAGTAATGAAACGAGGATAATGCTCAAGTAAGAAAATAACGGGTCATGAGCATAAAAGAACTATGTGCTCAGATAGATTTCAACCTACAGGATATAACTATTTTTCTCATTTCTCAAGTCAATCTATCTTTTATGATTGACTTTTTTTTATTTTTAGCTATTTTTTCTTTTAAAGTTCAGTCTTATAATTTTTTTTTACTTTTGCTTTTTCATCTATAGATGCTCCCGTTGTCACTTATATTCCTATTCGATAAGTTTTTATTGAGATTACTTTTTCTTTTGAATCATCTTTACTTTATTTTTTTCAGGGTCGTGTTACTTTTAGCTACGGTTCAACCTCGAAATTCTACTCCTACTTAAGAGTTAGAGTCTTTTAGTGGTGAAGATTCTGATAATGATGAGGGTTTCAAAGAGGAATAGAAAAAAAAGAGTACATCAACTAAGAAAAGTGATGGCAAAAAAAGAAAGCTTACGAAATAGGATGAATTGATCAAGGTTCCTGTGTATACTCCTTGTGATCTCGGTATGATTCTTAAGGACGTGATGAGGGAACTAAAGGAAAGTTATCTTTTTTATTTTTTATTTTTTTAGGGTCGTGTTGCTTTTAACCACAATTCAACCTCGAAATTCTACCCTACTCAGGAGTTAGATTCTTTTAGTGGTGAAGATTCTAATAATGATGAGGGTTTCAAAGAGGAATAGAAGAAAAAGAGTACATCGACTAAGAAAAGTGATGATAAAAAAGAAAGCTTACGAAATAGGATGAGTTGATCAAGGTTTCTGTATATACTCCTTGTGATCTCGGTATGATTCTTAAAGACGTGATGAGGGAACTAAAAGAAAATTGTCTTTTAGGTATGCTTTTATTCAAGTCAATAAAGTCAATGCACATCTTTCATTTTTTGCTATGCTTTTTGACCATGAGCATGTTGGTTATTCATTTAAGGTAATAGATTTTTCTGATAAAGCCTGCTTGTAATAATTTATTGACCTCCTCATTGATAGTCTTTTATCTTTCTGGGATAAAAGTTCTCTTCTTTTGCTAAACTAGTTTTACCTTGAGATTAGTATGCAGTATGTGAACCATAATCTCGGTATCAATTGTAAGTATATCGAATGGTGTCCAAGCGAACAGATCAGCATTGTCTCTTAGAAGTTGGATTAACTGACCCTTGTGTTGAAGTTTAGCTCTAATTTGCATGTATTTTTCAAAGATGTTATCTCAAAATGGTATAACCATAAGATCTTTTGCCAGTTTAGGTCGATTTTCATCAAAACCTGGTCTTTGGTCAATTATCTCTTTTTGTTCGATTTGGTTAGGATCATTTCTTACGAAAACAGATCTTGACGTGATGATTAGTATGTTATTGGTAACTTGTTAAATATATATATGGTGAAATTGGTATGTATTTTTCATTTCAAGCTATATTTTGGTTGGCGTATTAGCTTGATTCAAATGATATGTAATTGTTTATGCATACTTAAAAGCTCAATCATTTTTAGAGTTACTTCAAAAATTCAAAAAATAGAATAAAGATGTCTTTTATTAGAACTTAAAAGCTCAGAGCGGCTTAAGAGCATGCTTTTATCAGGTCAATTTTACGTTGTATATTTTTGCTTATGGTTTCCTACTTTTTCTTTATTAACGCTATTTGCCCTTCTTTAGTGCTTTTAGTTTCGATCGATCTACCAGTCTACTTCACAGTTCTCCCTTTTATTATTATGACATAACACTATCATTTTATAAATTGATCTCTCTTAATCTCTTTGACCCCTTTGGGTGTTGAAAATTTTACTTTTAAATATGGAGTTGAACTTATGAGCCGCATAACAGATTGACTAAGTTGAACTAATATCATGTTGTAAATTGATGGGACGTTCACAATTATAAATTCTATGACTGAGGTGATAGTCCTTGGTTATATCTTCAAAGAGATAGTAGCTTGATAGTTCTTTTAACTAGTACCTGTTCATTCTTAAATCATATTAGTGTTGTGGTGATCGGCTACAATTGATTTTCGTCAATTTTTATTTTTTTCATAGTGTCATAGTACATGACATCAATTAAACTCTTATTATCAAATAGAATTTTTTTAATTACGTAATTGTATACTGCAACTATGATCATTATAGCATTATCAAAAGGGTGCTGGATCACTTTTAAATCTTTTAGGTTGAATAAGATCGATTCATCTTTTCAATATTTTTCTTTCTTTATCGAGGTGCTTATGGCCATGATCATGCTTGGATTGAATTTTCTTTTAGCTGAGGTTGAGCAACCTCTATTGATCACGTTAATCACCCCAACGATTAGCATGTTGTTATCTATTCAAACTTCTTTTTATCTTGGGTTATCTCATCGGACTTTCTTTCTCTAATTTTTTAGCTTTCATTCTCCATCTTAGGTAGGCTTTCTTCGATCTTATCTGTAGTTCATTTTGAGTTGACTTTGTCTTCATTGCTTTATAAACCTCTTCAACTGACCTCTTTTTATCAAAGTTTCGATTTCATTTTTTAGGTCGACACAATATTTAGTATTATGGCCTATGTCCCTATGAGAGCCATATGTTTTGGTTGATCTCTTCGTGTATTTTGTCTCAGTGGCTTTGACCATCTGAGGTTAGGATTTCTCTTAATTTGTATCAGTATCCTTTTTCAAGAGGTATTTAGTATAGTGTAGTTCCTTTCTTTACTAGAGTTCTAGCCCTATGTCATCTTTTTCTTGGGAAAAGATTATAGAAATCCTTACCTTTCTTACTAATGAGGAAGATGAATGAGCTTATCTTACTTTAATCTCAAAAATAAGGGATGAACTTCTCTCATCTTGATTGTTTCTCATTGTAGCTTTGGTATTTATATATATATATATTTGCTACAAATAGGATGTCGACTAAAGTTTTAGGTGATTTTAGTGACAAAGTCAACTTTAGATGATACTCTCTATCATTAAGTCCACTTGTCAAGACAGCTACAACGACGATTTACTCTAGGTCTTGAACCTGTAGAGCTTTCACGTTAAAACATGTGACATAGCTCCTTAAAGTTTCATTGTAACTTTGGTGAATTGACTTTAAACTCAAAGTTGTCTTTTTCGTTCTTCACTTACTTACAAATCGAGATAAAAAAGAGTAGCTGAGCTCTTTGAACATTGTAATTGAACATTGATTCTAGGCTGCTACACCATGATCGAGTTGTGCCTTTTA